TTCCATTAAAAGCGTTTCGATATTGATTGTTCCATACAGGGAGGCCATTTAATATGAAATGCATAACGATACTGATAAGCTTAAGAATTTAAGAACCTTTTTTGTGTGATTAAAACGCAAAAAAATATTCCGTAGTCAAAGGCAGACGATAATTACGACCATAAACCAAATGAAGAGCGCATTTTATGGGACATTTACGAGAGCTAACGAAGGAAAATTATAATCGATTATATGGGGGAAAAAATGTAAGTGTCTATAAAAATGAGTTTAAAAACGCTTTCGCCAATGAGTAATAATCATAATTATAAATTTTCATGAAACATCGATTCGTTCATTAAAACAAAAAATCGGAATAATCGATTAATTCCATAAAGATGTGCTACGCTCGATAGATTCGATCATAAATCGATTCCACAGATTACGACTTCCATTACCAAATTGAATCGCCTGGCCCCCTCTCAAACCCCCGATCGGAACTCAAGACGTGCATTTCGCTTACATGCTGAATATTTATCGAATAATGAATAAGGCACACGCATGCACACACAGATTCCATTAACAGTATTACGTAAGAGTTGCAAATGAAAAAGTACGGAATTTATCGAACTGCCAAAAAGGGTAGGGGGATATGTGTAATGCGTACGTATGTATATGAAGGGTATACTGAAGGGATTCTCTGGATGCTTTACTGGCAAATTTACGGTTGTGCTCAAATGACTGCACCAGGTGGATTCTGGATACTGGATACTGGATTTCGGATCTTCCGACCGGCGGCTCAGTGGCCGCCATTCATTGGCCAATAAAAAGTGACGCATAAAAATATGAATTTTATGTCTGCGTATTTAAAAAGGACAATAAGCAACGTGTGGCTGTGAATGAAAGTGAATGAAAGTGAAGGAAAGTAAAGCTCAAGTTCCTCTGCCAGGGCAATCAAAACAAAATAAAAAAAGAAAAGAAAAGAGAAATGAAATGAAACGAAAGCGAAAAGCAACAAATGCGCTCAATGAAGCTGAAAAAGAAGAAAAGCGGTGGAAATCGGTGGGCCCACTCGAATTGGAAAATCTAATGGAAGCACAAAAAACTCGAGCTCAAGCAGGTATACATTCGTATATAAGTATATATATTGTATATATATCTGTCTGTGTTTCTGGCAGCTGCTGAACATGAAAATGAGTTTTTCCCCCCCCCAACTGCTTTTTATGCCAGTCAAGCCAAATAAAAATAATAATAAAATCAGCGCAATAAGCAAGCAATGAAAGCTGGGAAAGCGGCGAAAGCGAGACCGAGCATCGATTTATACACAGATGAGCAATCATAAATATTAATGTTAAATACAGCAGAGCCGTGGTTGCCGGGAAAAGTCAAGAAAAAAGCCGAGCGGAGCGGAAAAGCCCTGCTGCTTGACCATTGCCTAATGGAATGGCAATCGGAATGGGCATTGATAACCGAATGTTAAGTTAAGTTGTGTTCCTTGCAAAGTTCTCACTACCCCCCAGCCATTTCTTTTTTTTTTTTGCTGCCAGCCCGGCTTTATGCTAATGTCGGCGACTTTCCCTGACAGGCGCTGCCTCATAAAGCAGGCGGTGAGCATAAATCTTCGGTTCGAGGAAGGACCCCTATGAGTGGAGTCCCCCCTAAAAAAAAAAGGATCTCCATGCCATCGGGCGACATCGAGGCGCGCTGCCTCTGATTTATTTGCCAACGTGTGTACCACGCTGCGTATGCTTATTTCGGTGGGCCTCGTCCTTTTCTCTCCTTGGCTCTTTTTTTTATTTTTTATTCTTTTTGCCCTCGCCTCCAGAGACAGCTATCAATGACAGCGGCTTGATTTTGCATTTAAAAGTGAATTATATATCCGCAGATTCTCCGACAGCCGCAGAAAAACAAAAATGTATGCGGGGCATGGAGAACTGTGCAAATATCTTGCCACATAAGCGACAATTTATTTGCATATTTTCATGCCACCGACAGACTGAAGAGTAAGTTGTCCTGGCTGTTGTTTACATTAACCCGTCGGCGAAAGGGGGTAAAAACAAATTGTCGGGCGAAAAGTGTAAAAACTTATAAGATAACATAGTGAGCAGTGGAATTGGGATAGATTTTTTATTCAAGGACTTTTCAAATTAGCCCTGGTAACATATTTACTTTTAATTATATATGTAACTATATTATTTTATTTATTAAATTAATTACCTTAAATAAAACACAAATTAGAACGATTAATAACCCAACGATAAATAATCCTTTTTCTTATACTTTTCAATGTATTCAATTTGTAATCCAACATAATAATGGCTGCAAAAAATTCGATTAATTTGTGATGTTTTTAAATTGCATTAAAGCAAAAAATGTGAGTAATCGATTAATTTCATAAAGATGTGCAACGATCGATAGATTCGGTAATAAATCGATTCCGTCGATTACGGCTTCGATTACAAAATTGAAGCTTACATAAATCACATATAAACAGAAATTAAAACGAGTAATAACCCACTGTAAGTCTTTTTTCTAATACTTTTCAATGTATTCAATTTGTAATTTAACATAATAATGACTGCAAAAAATCCATTAAATGAGCCCAATAAACCCTTTCAATTGGCAAACCCTAATAGCTATAAATACATACACATACAGTTTGAGTGTCCACTTACAACATAAATTCATGTTGCGCTCTGTTGACCCATTTCAAATTGTTATCGCGTTAATATCTGACATGTTTGAATGTCACAATGATCCCGTTATTCGCCGACACACACACTCAAACACACACATACACAGTCGATGTATGTATTTTTACTCTCCCTTTGACTAATATCAACACCAAAGTTGCCTTTCCCGCGCTGTTTGTGTTTAATTATGTATATCTGTGTAAGGCACAAGCACTCACACAAACACATGTGAAATCCCCACACACAGATACAACCCGATTGTATGAGTTTACATGGGTGCCATGTGTTTTTGTACAAGGCGCTTACATTTTCGCTCCCTACAATAGTTGTCCTTGTGCATATATTATATCTCCTATGTCTGCTTAAGCCTGCTCAACATTTTCCAAATAATATGCTAACTTTTGTATTGTCACGTGCCCTTTCATGTGTGTGTGTGTGTGCGCGCCATTGTTTATCTTGGCGCTGACTTCCGTTTCCGGCTGATAAACAAATGGCGCCAGCTAACGATTAATTATTTTGATTTCTGGTCTAAAGGTTCACCTATAAATAACGAAAGCAATAACAACAGCTGAACAGGACAAGTGTCTTGGCCAAATTATAAAAAGGCCAACTGGCAAAGTTAAGACAACAAGTCGGAAGTAACATCAAGTATCGATATGCAATCGGAATAAGTTTCAGAAGAAATTTCAAGTATTATAGATTTACAATTTGCAAAGGAAGTGGTAACCAAAAAGCTTAAATAGTAATCATAATCTTTCACATTTGCACTCTGCCACTAATTGATATACTCGCAATCCATTCATCAAATGCCCTTACTTAAAATGCCATGTTTGCCTCCAGTTTATCTGCGTATTGATGAATGGTTTGATAGACTAGTGGGCTATTATTGCCAAAATACAGTGTGCTGTTTGCTCAATCGATTCCATAGATCTGCACAAATATCTCAATAGCCTTGCAAAAGGAGTCTCGTCCTTTGTGGCATTTCTTTGCCAGCCTATCAATGAGCCAATTTTCACACAATTGCAAGTCTTCCCCGTGTGTGTGTTTGCGTGTGTGTGGCGGGTGTGTGGGAAACCACAACGAAGCACTTTTTGGCACGTTAATGTGTTAGAGGTCCTCACCCTTAAAACAAACACACACGCACACGCACACACGCAGACACCCATGAGCCGTAATTAATGATTGAACGCACACCTACGCACAAGGGTCTCCCCTAAAATGTATGCTACGTTTCTTGTCTATACGCACAAAATGTGTTTCTCATTATTTTTACGTACTTCACACACACGCACATACTCACAAAGTTTTACAAAAAGCAACGCACGTGCGTATAAATTATGTTTTTGGCTTCATTATATGGGTGGAAGGGGGCGAGGGGCTGGTTAGGGGTTGGGCGGTAGGGTGGCTCACTTTAAGGGTGGCTGCTGCCCATTGCTGACGCCAAGTAACGCATTAAAAATCAATTCCCGAAACTTTGCACGTACACAAAAAGAAAAAAGTGTCGAAATTGAGTTCAAATGAGCTCATTAAAACAGGCAATCAAATAAGTTCTTATTTCGTAAGTGATGTGAAAAATAGTTTAGCTACCAGTATAACACATATTTACCATTTTTATAACCGTTACTCCTAGAGTAAAAAATTTCATTGTATTAGTTAAAATGTATATAAGGTATATATATTCCTGATCAGGATTAATTTCCGAGACGATATGGCCATGTCTGCCTGTTCGTCCGTCCGTATGAATGCTAAGATCTCTGAAACTTAAAGAGCTGGAATGTTGGAACTTAGCTTGCGGATTCTAGGCGTTTCCGCGCAACATAAGTTGAAAAGTTGGCATAAGTTGAAAATGAAAATTCTTTAGGGACATGGTAATGGCTTTTTATTATGCGTTTTATGTTTACTCGAGCTGCATTTATCAACACACCAAATAGTGTTCCAAAAGGGCAGTTCTAATAGCAGACGTTTTTCAACACTGTTTTTTGAAACTCAAAAATAAACAGAAAGTTAAACTAGATGGCGGTTTATTGGCTCTTCATAATTTTTAAATAATGTTCCTTGGTTTTAAAACGTTAATTTATTTTGTTTTCACTATAAGATAAGGTTTAAGCCAAAGTTTAAAAGTAAATGGAATCGTGACTAACTCTGTGACTCACGCGAATCGTGATAATAAAACCCAAAACCAAAAAATACCAAAAAATACCAAAAAATTGGGATGGAAACTCTATTCCTTCAGTGAAGCCCTGGCAAAGTAAAATTTTGACAACAGTGCGCGGTGACAGGTTGAAAATCTATTGCATGAGTAGGCAATATAATCAGTTCCCTTGCAAAACGATGGACGACTCTTCAGGACAGGAGCAAACCGTGAATATGGTGTACCTTCCGGGGACCTTCGGCTGGACGGAGTACGGAGGACAGTACATACCCTATATATATCGCAAATCGGAAAAGTACATATCCATGCGAATGTTATATACGCATCCGATGTTTTCAAGCTGCCGGAACTTCATGCATCCGGATATCTTCTCCGCCTGCGACCATATGGCCAGATTACCTATCACCGATTTCGAGGTGCGTCTCCTGAACGAAATCAATCTTGACCACTGCAATGGGATATTTGGCAACAACTCCTTCGACCTACAGGATACCGTGATCCATATAAGTGACGCCTATGAGTTCTATCAATTCATTGGCTTTTGCTCCTGCAAACTAACTCGCGGAAGCAAATTTTCCTCAGAGAGGTGCAGTTTCATCAGCATAAACAAGAAATGCTTGGTGCCCTACATTGTGCGAAATGACCAGAAGCTTTTCCCGGATTTCTTTTTCGCGGGTGAGACTGATATCCTGGAGACCCATGAGGAGCCGATCACTGGATGGGATCTGTCCTACCTGATGTTCTGCTGCCGTCTACTGGGCATACGAGAGGAGTTCTATTCCGGGAGTTATTTAAATGGCATTTTGCTAAACGATGTTGAGAACGCCTATCCCTACGGCACCGAATTTGAGGAGTGCTGGGCAAAGGACGTAAAGACCGATGATTTATACTCTGACTGTCCGAATTACTTTCTAAAAAAATAAATGGCCTGCTATGGATATATATGTATATATATATTTATGTATATGTAATCAAATGTGTAATTATGTATTTTATATGGATAGTATATGGCTTAATTCGTACCATTACTTAATAAGTATTTACCTTTATCTACCAAGAACTAGTTAAATATGTAGGTATATACGTAGGTATACTCGAAGGTATGTTTATTTTTAAGCAGGTTAGCTAAGTAAAGGGTATCTAATAGTCGAGGCACTCGACCTTAGCATAGGCATAAATAAATGTATAATCAGATGGACTTTAAAAAGTTTGTTATACATTTGTAATGGTGCTTTTAGAACCATGAGAAAATACAATGGAATATATTATTTTATATACAGTAAAACTATCATTAATGCTAGCCAAATCAAAAGTGCTTGGTATGGAGTTTTGTATTTTGTAAACAATTTCGTTGAACCTTCGACACATAATTTATTTTCGGTGTAGTTTAATGTTGCAGCTATAATTTGATATTACATTTTAATGACTTTCTCCTAATCGCTGGCTTTCTCCCCTTTTTCATTACAGCAATCGGCAGGAAGATGGAATGACCATAATTCGCTTAGTTTGCCCCCCGGAAAATGCTGGCTCAGCCAGCGGCAGCAGCGGCAACAACAAATCAATCAGCAACATTAGCAGCAACATCTGCAACATCGGCGGCAGCAGCAGCAGTAGAAGCTAGGAATGGCCAGCGACGTCGCGTGGCAGCAGCAACAGACGGTTGCAACAGCAACATTGGCAACAGCAACATCAGCAACAGCAACAGCAACACCAACAGATTAAGTCAAATGCATTCCAACGAAGAGCCGCCCATGACGGTGATCGTCGATGGGGGCGGTGGCGGTGGTGGTGGCAGCAACGTTTCCGTTTCCGGTGCGAGTGGCCATCGGCGGGGCAGCCAGAGGTTGCGAAAAACCAGTTCCTCCAGTGCCAATGTCAAGTCATCGGCGAATCCTGCGGAAAGGACGGGCAGCAGTCAAAGGTCGTCGCATCGCCAGACATCGAATGCCTCGGATGGTGGCAGCAGGCGTCGCTATCAAGGAAAGGATCGCCACGATCGCCACGAACGCCAAGATCGCCAGGATCGCCAGGATCGCCAGGATCGTCAAGATCGCCAAGATCGTGAAGATCGCCAGGATCGGCAGGATCGCCAGGACCGGCAGGATCGTCAGGATCGTCAGGATCGTCATCACCGACGTGAGCGGCAGGATCAGCCACGCCGGCGGACAGGACGCCGACACAGTGGAGCCTCCTCGCTGAGCGACGCGGTGGCAGCAGGAGGAGAATCAAGAGCTGGAAGATCGAGGAGAGGCGATGGGGGTGGGGCGGTCAGCTCCTCGACCGCCTCCAGTTGCAATGGCAGCTGCTCCTCCGACGATGGCGACTCCTCGCACACCTCATCCTCCAGCTCGTCCAGCTCGTCCGGCGAACCCAATCTGCCCTATCCCGGCTTCCCCGAGATCTCCATGAAGGCACTGACGCAGTACACCCGGCCACGCAACTGGTGCCTGATGCTCATCACCAATCCATATCCTTTGCACAAACAAAAACAGAGTGTGGGGGAGGGGGGATGCCCTAATTGCCATTGTCCTTCGCTGGCAATTTACCCCTGGGTGTGGGTGTGTGTGCTCGAATGTCCTTGTCACACATTTCACAGGATGTGCGTTGTGAGCCTATTGATTATTCTCTCCTTTTTTTTTCCCCCTGTCCTCTCGGTTTTCTCTCCACTTTTTTTTGTAAGTCTTCTTTTTTTTAACGGGCCTAAGGACACTCGATTCGGTAGAGGTTGAATGCATTTCGGTGGGGGTAGCAATGTCTCTAAAGAATACCCACATGCGAATTTTTAATAAGGACACATTACGATTCGTCCGTTTGGTGTTTTTGATCGGTTTAGGGTGGCTACTTTTGCTTGGGCTCCAGGATCCAGAATCCCTTTGGAACTTTGTTAGTTTTTTTCATCCAGAAAGTTGTGTGATTAGTTGAAACTACAAAATATTGACTAGTCATTATGAAATGAACCTATTTTAAAGCTTAGGAACATTTAAGTTGGACTGTATATTGGGTAATAATTTTGGGTTACTTGACTTAAAAGTCCTCTCTGAATACTGGGTATCCCATGTTCGATGTGCTGAACTACTTTTCTCCCCTGCCTGTTGCAAAATTCATGCCCCAATGTCGGCAGTTGCAGAAGGTATTGCGTGTGTGTGTGTGTGCGAGTTCGCTGGGCATAAATAATAAATATCTGAATGGGCATCATCATTGAGAGACGGAACCAGTGGATATATGTTTGTCCCCCAGTCCCAGTTGCCGGATCCTTCCGCTGCCGACTTGTTTTCATATTTGCCGCATCCCCATCCATTTGCTGGGGGATAATGTGCGCCAATCAGTGGGATGTGGGATGTTGGATATGGGATTCCGCGTAGGCGGAAGGAAGAAGATGACAACCCTGGCGTTTCGATGTTGTTTATATCTGCCAGTGGCAGTGGCATTGCCAGTACCATTCCTCCAGCTCCAACTTCTGCTCCTGCTCCTCCTCCTGCTCCTTCTTCTCCAGCATTTTCTCCAGCTCCTCTTCAAGTGGCATGTGGCACATGTGCATGAAAAATCGCTTTGCATACTTCGCGGCGCGCACTTCACATTTCACTTGGAGCGAAATTAAAATTGACTGACGTTGATATTTATTTATGCCTCTGGTTCTGGGGGCTGAGTAAATTATGATAATTGAGTTTAGAACGTCAAGTCTGTTCTCCGGTGACATATCCCACAGGAAGTCGTCAGTCGCGAAGTGGTTTTATTTTTAGCCCAAAAAGCCGCGTTGACGGTAGCGATTTAGCCACTTGATATGCCACATTCATCCCACCTCACTCCCACTCTCTAACCTTGAAAGGTCCCTTTCTTTGCGCCACAAGTACGTAATCGCTCTCTCGATACTTGCCACTTAATTGTTAGCCATAAATTTTGATTTGCCCCATTGTTCGCGCTATTCAAACTTCGTGGCTGCCCCCATGCCCCAAACCACTGCATTGTTTTCTATATCTTGCTGACATTTTATGGATTTTATTGTCAAAGTTTACGATGTGGATGCCTCCCCCAGCGCCGATTATTATATCGAGGGTGTGGTTGAGTTGAGCTGTGAGCCAAAGTGATTTTGTGGCTGTGTTGCGGTGCAACTTCGCCCTGCTTGCATTTTGCCTCTATGCGATTCGATTCGATATCGAGAAGCAATCAAACTGCTTTGGCTAAACTAATTTAAGTTCAACTTCCTTGTGCTACCCCACTTCCACTTCCAGTTCCGTTTCCGCTTCCGCTGGCGACGCTCGTCTCGCCCGTGTCTTTGGTGACCCAGACGTGCCTTCGGCTGCAGCTGAGGTCAGCGGTGCCATTTGCCAAAAAGTTAAAGCCGCCTCAGCGTCGCCAGCTGGCCTTGCGTATCAATATCGGATGCCATACGCTTCTTTCCTGTTTTTCTTCATTGAGGTCCTTGGATGGAGACACCCTGGGAAGTGTAATCAAATGGCACGCAGAGAAAATTAATCGTTTCACTAGGAAACTTGTATTCGCCCATATCAAAAGTTGGAACTTTGGTTTGGAAAACATTCTTGATTGTAACCAAAATAACCTTATTCTTGCCGGATTAAAGATGGCATGGTCACTCTAACACATTTTGACCAGATGATCGTTAACATGGTCACATTACTTCTTTTAATAGTAATTAGTTCAAGTATCGCGGAAAAGTAATCATCATGAAACGAGAAAATACCATCAACAATGATATCAATTCTTAAGATATTTTTCTCTGTGAAATGACATTGGCCTTCTGCGGCATCCGGTCGTCTTTGCAACTTTTAAACCCAAATTAGCGATGCAACTTTTACCACATCTCTCATATATGATACGATGCATTTTCGGGCAGTTTCCAGCAAAGTTGGCTCCTTCGTTTTACGGCGCTTTTAGCGTGAAATGTGCGCGGCACGTGCAACATGTGCAGCGCAAGAGGAGTGTTGAGTGTGGGATTTTAGTGGGGGTCAGGGGTTATGGGCTACCAGCTGGCTGCATCCTTGTGCGGTCGCCATTAGGACCACCACACACGGCCATTCGGACACGCAGGCATCATTAGCATGGAGTGCGGGGCGGTTGGACTCGCTCCTTGGATAATGTAAAACCGCTGCCACGCCCATAACTAATTATGACGGAGAGCTGAGAGCGTTGTGTGGATCCCTCCTGGCCGATGCCCATTATCCTCTTTGACCACCACTGAGTACGTGCATTGTATTCATTACATAAAAGCTCCCATCGTCCTGTCAAAAGGACGAGCAGCAGGGACTTAGTTGATGAACCGACAACAGGTCGCCGTGTTCCTGTGTGGGAATTGTTAATTTCCGCCGCTGGCTAATGCTTCAAAAGGGAGACAATTACATAATCACAGCGTAAGCAATGTGGCCCTTCTGTGCTCGTGAGCATAGTGTGACCATGCATTCGAGAAACTGGTTATTATTAGGGTGTTTTGTAGAGTGAGACAGCATAATTCCCAAAAAAAGAGAAACGCTTACCCTTGAAACTTTTTTCCCTTTACATACCCCACAGCAAATGGGTAGTCGATTCATTCAATGGCCCTCTGATGTGATAGAACCAATTAAATTGATCGCTTCCATCGAGGAAAACTTGTCCTTGTCGAAGCCAATTTATCTCAAGTTTTTCACTTTTACTGTTGGCATTTTCTTTTTTAAATGTTTGTTTTTCATGTTTCGTTTGCCTCATTCTCATTCCCGCTTTAGTTATTCGTTATCCGCCATTCAGCACTCCCCCCAGCCCCTCCTCCAATTTGGCATGTTCAGTCATCTTATTCGGCTTTTGCTTTCGGGGCTCTCGCTTTTGTTTGTGGCTCTTTTAATTTGTTGCGATTTCTGCACGCTTGCATGCGTCCCCATTCCCGGCACCACCCGACCCGCCACGCCCCTTTAATGGCACCGCCCCCTTTACCGCTGGCCGACTTTACGCTCGACTTAATTTGTTTACTGTTGGTTTGGGGGCCATCGCTGTTGCCAAATCAAAAATAATGCGCGCATACCCGGGGTCCAACCTCACCGCCCATTTTTGCCACCCACGTACACCTGACTAGGGATGAATGGGGAAAAATCGCCAGAAGGGGCGATAAAAAATATCGATACGATATTTAGATAAATTTATTTTTCCTTTCCTATAGAAATATTTCAAATTTCTAAATATTGTTGTTTATTATTTACTAAAAAATGTATACTTTACAGGCAATTTTAAAGTTCTTGGCCAATTTTTTTTAAGACTAATTGTACGAAATTTTTAAGACTATTTTATCGATATATAATCGATATATAGGAAACAAAAAAAAGCTCATCCTGGCAATAATATTTTTATATGGTCATGTACTATTTGACATCCCTATGGCTGCCTCTTTGGAGCCAACTGAATGAAATGAATGCGCCAGGGTCGGTGTTGCTGCTACTGCTGTCGCATATTTGTGCTGCTGCAGTATTTATCCAGGCGGAGAGTGGGCGTGGTCCCCTTTTGACCCCTTTGGAGCCGCCCCCATTTCGACCGCGGCCTTTTGTGCCGGTCTGGGCTGTTCACATTTGTTTTTATGACACGGCCCCGCGGATCCAACCGAACCGAACTGAATCCAAAAACCGCCTCTGACCCTCAGCCTGCATATGTTCCAATCTCCTTTCGCCTCCTAATGAATTGCCCTTTTTGTGGCAGCTTTTCATCCTTACCACCCAGGGATATTTTGTTTGGCTGTGGATTTTTTTCGTGTGTTTCCTTTTTTTTTTTGTTTTTTGGGCCAGACTATTGTGCGCCACGTTTTATCTTTAATTGTGCGTTAATAGCGTAAACATTTTTGCCATTTTGCGCTTGTGTTCTCGATCCTTAATTGCTCCGTGGAAAGAATGAGTCCTTGGCGCTCATTTGGCCATGCATTAAGCCGGCTCGAAATTCCCCCTTCGCCAACTTGCCAACTTGGCCTTGTGCGAGTGTTTGTGTTTTCCAGTTTTTCTCTTTTTTTTTTTTTTTATTCTCCGCCTGAGGCCCAAAAACCAAAGTGCAGCTGCGAGGCTTTTAGGCGACAAGTGGCAAAAAGGATGGTGGTTTTACGGGCTGGGGAAAATAAAAAAACCGTCAGTGGAGCAGTCGATTCGGTTCCATTTCATGTAGGACCTTAAAAAAAAGGGCGAACCTCTAAAAATCAGTAGTAGCCTTAGTAAATTACTCTGTATTTTCTACGAATTTTTATTTAAAGAAGTATACGTATGCTTATTTAAAAAAATGTTGACAAAAGTTTTAACCAGCTTACCTCAGCTCTTAAATTTTTTGCTTTGTATTTTACAAACCCCAGACATAGTAAACCCAAACAAAAACTTGGTGTGAGTAATCATATTACAAACAAATTTACACATATTTCCTGCTGCCTTATGGCTTTCCAACTTAACTCACTGTGGGTTCATCACAACCTAAATTGTTTGTTTATGTTAAGTCTTTGTTTTCTTTAAAATTAAAGCATTTTCCACAATTCAAGCAGAGCTACACTTTAAGACCCCCATGTTGAATTTGCATTTTCTTAACTGTTTAAGCGTATGCAAGGGTATTTAGGGTAAGAAGGCCACAGTGCGTATGAGTGATAAACTTTAAGCACACAGTATAAGCATATAAAACCAGAATTTTACAATGTTGCATTCAGTTGAGGTCCTGCAAGTCCAAGTCCTTCTGTAGTTGTTGTTTGGTGAAATGCGTTTAGATCGAGTGTTATGAGCTGACTGCCAACTGTCATCAATTTGCTGCATTTGGCTGGCTGGAGAGCTGGGAACTGGGAGCTGGGCATCCACAAGCCAAAAGCTTCTTGGCCCCCAAACCCCCAGAAACCAAAACCGAAAGCATACCAAACGAGACCGACAAACGGCAACCGCAGGAGGTGGGCGGTAAATGTGGGTGGTTGGCAGCCAAGTTGACAGGCACTTGAGTGCGCATTAGAGGCAACTGCAAGTTGTTATCCACCACCACGCCCCCTTTTCGCAATCCGCCCCCCAAACCACTGCTTTCGCTCGACTTGTTTCGCCTTCAATCAGCGCAGAAATGTAGGCAACGTCTAATACCACAAGCATACCCCCCTCTGTTCTTATCCTTTGGCCTCGTCCTTGTTTGCCATTTCTTTTTTGGTTTTGCCCCTTAACTTAGCCACGGACTCGACTCCATTTCGGGTACCTTCACATGGTTCGAGCGCGTCTCCATCCTGGTCATCCTGCTCAACTGCATCACCCTCGGAATGTACCAGCCCTGCGTGGACGACGCCTGTGTCACGAACCGCTGCAAGATCCTTCAGGTGAGTAACCCTAGCCACGAATCACTTAAACACTAGTTTAATACTTCAAAAATATTTCTGCAAGCCAAAGTTTTAATTCCTTTGTAGGTTTAATGAATTAAACTGTGATTAAGGTTAGATTATTATATATTATAGCACAATTTATCTGAAAAAAACATCATATTTGTATCAATTTTACCCTATGGCTCCCATGATAGCTATAGGATATAGTCGCCCAATAGGACAGTTTATTTTTCCTGATCAGGGTATAGATAAAATAATACGAATAGGATGCTCAAATTCCTTAAAAACTAGGGAAAACGGCATATTTCTACCGATTGTTCTATGGCAGCTACAAGATATAGTAGTCTTATGGAAAAGGGCTTTTACCCTGATCAAGGAAAGAATAAAATAATGCCACTAGCAAAGTTTCATATCATATTATGTCAATAGTATATAATATCCTCCGCAAGGGTATAAAAATGTAAGTAGTAGAAAATATTTACATTTATAAACCTTAATATAAACAATATTATGAGAGACTGAACAGATATATAGAGAGTTCTAATTTTTTACTTAACGTACAAGGCTGGTTTATAAATAAATTGTTTGATGTTTATAAATACTTCGGGAAATACAATGAAATTCTCAAGACAATTGTATATCTAGAGTAACAATTTAACAAGTAGACCCATTCAAGGTTTACAATTTCAGGAATTTGCTGAAGCATAACTTAAACCCATCAAAATTACAATTACATTTCAACGCACTTCAGTGGACATTTATAATTGGCATAATTATGGATCCATCCCGGGGGCTTAAGGTTAATTTGATAGAAAAAATGATGTGAAAAATGGGGACAGGAGTAGCATTGTTGGGTCTGCTTTCTTCGCTGGATATCCCAGCTCCCCAGGTGGGCCTGTCAGCATCGGTGTCACATTAAATGCCATTTATTTAAGCAATTTTTTGGCTCACTTCCTGGCTGCCACACTGATGACACCCAACGAGGCACTTCGGCTCATTAGGCGGCACCACCGCAGACTGTTTTTCCTGGAGAGGGGGTTTCACAGGTTTCTGGGGTCTCTGGGCTTTTTGCAGGTTTTCGAGTGGAGTGTTCAGTGGGGCAATTACAGAGAATATAGAGAAAATGCCGGGCTCAACGTGCGAAAATGTTTGTAAATGATATGTAAGTCGGGCGACATTTTCGGCCGCAGCCAAGTGTAAAGTAACACGACAGCCGGGGCCAGAACCCTCGGAAAGAAAAAAAAAAACAGGGGACCAGGACCCAGAGCACTGAAGACAGGATACTGGCAAGGACATGGAGGAGTTTCGATGGCGATGGTTGGAGGATGAGGACGGACAGGACAAGACAAGAGAAGGCATCGCCAAATTGGCACACAGCACAAAGTCAAAATGACAACGACAGCGGCATTCGCAGTCGGTGACATAAGTGGGCGTTACCGCCGCCCTTCGTTACCACCCTCGTATCCCTAGCATATATACATATATGTACATATACTTTATCCCGACCATCCCCCAAAGAACCCAAATTACTTCACACAAGACGTTGCATGGGGCACGAGAAAAAGATGACGACGGCGACGACGAGGATGAGGATGATGATGATGATGATGATGATGGTGTCGCCAAGGCAAACTCATTTCGAGGTGCATGTGTGTCCTTGCCACCCCCTCTCCATATAGCCGGATTGCTAATTTTAATTTGATCAACTCTCGTTAGTTCGTTAGGTTTAATCGCCATTAATCGAATGGGATTGGGGGTGCAGGAAAGTTGCCAAAGAGAATATCCTTTAAAATCGTATTTCCTAAGAAGGGAGACTTAAGAAAGTAAGCGAGTTTATAAGGAATTGGAATAATAGTTAGGTTACTGAGGGGGAAATGTTTAATAATGCTGCAGTGAGACTTAAGAAAGTAAGCGAGCTTATAAGGAATTGGAATAATCCTTAGGTTACCGAGGGAGAAATGTTTAATAATATTGCAGATATCCCTTTTCCTAAAAAGGGAGACTTAAGAAAGTAAGCGAGCTTAAAAGGAATATTAATATCCCCTAGGTTACCAAGATAAAAATTTTGAAAAGCATTGCACATATACATATGATATAGTTTAAAGAACACCTTACCCCACTTAACTAGTAACCAAAACACTAATCTTTTCAGATCTTCGACGACATCATCTTCGCGTTCTTTGCCCTGGAAATGACCATCAAGATGGTGGCCATGGGGATGTGTGGCAAGAACACCTATCTGGCGGACTCTTGGAATCGCCTGGACTTCTTTATCGTCCTGGCGGGTCTCCTGGAGTATGTGATGCATGTGGAGAACCTCAATCTGACTGCCATCCGAACGATTCGTGTGCTACGTCCCCTGCGGGCCATCAATCGAATACCCAGTAAGTAAACCTGTGCTATAGGGAATGTATGTATAGCAAGTAACTCGTAATCCTTTAGGCATGCGAATTCTGGTGATGCTCCTGCTGGACACTCTGCCCATGCTGGGCAATGTCCTGCTGCTCTGCTTCTTTGTGTTCTTCATCTTCGGGATCATTGGTGTGCAGCTCTGGGAGGGAATTCTACGGCAGCGATGTAGTTTGATGCAAGCCGACGGCATGGTCTATCCCCTCACGTAAGTAGCCACTCTAAGGAATCCGCTGATTATGAAAGAAAAAATCAAGAAAAACCAGGTCGTATGGGAAATATATGGGCCTCTGTCTGCCGGCGCCTCCGGGTCTCATACATAATCGTACATACCATACATATTCCTGGGCATACATCCGCGTATGCTGTACATATATCTAAACATATATGTATATACTCGTATCGTGATATTCTTTTTTTTTATTTGTTTAGCTTTGAGTGTTTTGGTTTTGTGCTTTTTTGTTTTCGTTTTCCTTTTCCGCGTCATCCAAATCAAATCGAGCCCAGACTTTGAGCCGAGTCTTCCACAACTGAACTGCCTGGCTGCTGCTTTCTCAATCCTCCCGCTGTTGGCTTTTTTGGTTCCATGGCTTAGCTTTTGGTTTTTTTTGCTTAGCCTTAGCCACAAGACACAGGCACATACCACACAAACAATGCCATAAACGCAATAAACACCCACAAACAGCCACCAAAACAGTTGAGATCCCGCTGTAGCTGCTGCTGCACCAGTGTCCCAGCAATTTGCATACGAAATCCAGAGGACCGTCTATTTGATGAAGTCCCTGGGTCCTTCGCATCCTTCAGCCTGTCGGTGGTCCGTTGGAGGTACCCCAAAAAAAAAAAAAAACAAAAAACAACCGCCTTGTGGTCGTGACAGCCGGAAGAAGCCGAGAAGAGGCCGCACAGTGGGGTTTAGGGGGTGAAACACCTGCCGGATTTCCCTGTAAATAAAGGCAAGTGATAGAGATACCAGGGCAGTAAAATCAAGAGGATAGGGAGATGGTAGTACGGCCTTACACAACGCATTTTGCAGCTGTAAAATATTTCTTAGGTTGTACTTTTTATCAGTTATATCAATTCAACATTGAAAGTTTGTCTTGATTCTGATTTTTTTTGATGCAAGCCTTTCAAAGTATGTTAATAATACCCAAATTTGTTTAGTACTTATGTTTTTATATAAAAGTTCAGATGGACCTGAATTTGTTTTAGACTTATCGAGTCCTTTTTTGAGGGGTCTCGCATCCACTGTGCTCTCTCGCTGGCAGCTGACAAAAGATTTTAAACTTGGCCAAAACAATCATTTATCATTGGCATTGTGTTTGCGTCTGTGTTTGTGCCACGGCGGCTTTATAACGTCACACGCAGAACAGAAAGGACACGCGTGCCCTCTCACCCTCACACACAGCCATCACACACACACACACCGAGACAAACGGAAGGACTCACCCACACATAGACAGCGCAGCCCTTTAAAGTAGGCTACAAAATTTTTGGGTCGCTGCGCGCCTCGCTTAAGAAACTTAATTTTTTTGGTGGCTTTGTTTTTCCGGTCCCTTGCTTATTTTTTTCCCCTGGCATGCTGTACAAACTGTTTATTCTACGCAAAATAAATTTATTTTTGCGGCTGACTTTTGCTTAATTATTGCACATTATAATGTGCAACTGGCAATGCATAGGCCAGCCTTTTTAATATTTTTGATTTGGTTTGAAAAGTCTGAGGAAATAAATTCGAAAGAAGGGCAGACATATTGACCGAATTGTTGTTAAAAACCTTTCCGGTGCAACCTTTTTTTTTTTAAAATCGTACCTTTTCTTAAAGCTTTTCTTCTGCAGCCCCCTTTTTGAGTTGAAATTATTTTAATTTTGTTAATTTCAATTCGCACAGGCAGGAATTGTACCATACAACCAACGTTTCTATGATATTGTGAGCCCTCGAAGTCATGCTGTATATACACCCACACCCACACCCACACAACAAACACCCACACCCACACCCTCACACTCACAACCACAACCACAGACAAGCCTGTGAGAATGGCAAACAGAGTATAGATATATATATGCATATATGTTCTTTTCCAGTTTTTCGTTTCTTCGATTTGTATTTAGTTGTGACAATAAAAAAAAAAAATGAAACCAAAACAGAACAAGAGAACAAAAATCTATCCAAATTGGCAGCCAAGCAAATCCAACATCCAAAAATTCCAAAATCTGACATTCACTTATCTCGTTATGTTTTCGAGTTTTAAGTTTTTTCCTTAGAAGCAAACAAAACACAAAAATAAATTTCAAATACCAAACAAAAGCAGATAATATGAAACAAAAACAAAAATCATACCGGGAACAAATTTTTTGTTTACAGGATTCCTGAAGTGTACAGAGTTCGAGTCCGTGTTAACTCGTAAGATAAAATGATTTATTTCCCCCTTAACTTAACCCACACACACAAACTGACACACTCCCACACGAACACACACAAACTATGACACAGTCCGAAATACACCAACAGAAGAAACCCCCCTCCCAAGTGGACACTAAAAAAAAAGATTCTAATAGTCGTCTACTAGCTAGTCCACATTTAGATTCTGTCTATAAATACTGATATCAATGTAACTTTCTACCACTGCCTTTAAATATCTATAGCCTCTCTCTAACTATCTCTATCTTCGCGCTAGCGCTAGCCTGCTAAGTCCTTAATCCTTAGACCTTAGACCTCAGCCCTTTCTTGCTACTCTCTTTTCTAACCTGAGTATCTTTTTAGCTACAGATCAATATTAAAATGTGTTCTATCCTTAAGTATTTAAAGTGCTGTGACCACTCTATCCTGTTTCTTTCGGTGGTGCCATAGAAAAATCTTTTAATAATCTGTCTAAAAGTATGCTACACTATGTGTGGAGCACCTTAGTTCGTGGTAAAAACCGGAGGACCACATTTTAAATGTTTTAACTTTCGATAGACATTTGTGGCACCCCCATTAAAAATTTAAAGAAAATATATATAGAATAAAGAAAATATAGTGGTCATGGCATTTAAAACGGACATACGATACTTCAATGTCCAAATACCTATTTCCCTCTCTATTCCACACACACCGAACTCTATTTAGCCGTCACTTTCCCACACACGTTTGATAGTCGCCACACAACCTATTAGTAGATGTGCATATATCTATATACTCGTATTAGTAAATATACTTGGCCATACGATAATACGAAATACGTTTTGTTTTAACTCTAACGTCTAACCAGCTAACTGTCTCTCTGTCTCTTTCTCTTTGTATAAGTAATATTTGAAGACATATGAATATATATACATATATATATATACGAAATACCAAGCTATACTAAATATCAATTAAACTAAACTGAACTAGACAACCACTCGGCATCCTGTTCGTTTTCCCCTCCACCCAAAAAAACACTATATATACTCACTCTATTATCCAGCTCACACAACTGTACCAAAAGCAAAAGCCCCTAGTTAACCCGTCTGAGGCCACATTTTATTTGCCACCTAGCTTAACCCCTACTCTCGTTTCATATATAAGTATGTTTTTAGCCTAGACTTGATGTACGTTTCTTTTTTGTGTTTAGAGTTGTTGATGTGGCACCACTTGAACCTGATCTCAACTGCTAACTAAACCACACATATATGAATGTATATATATATGTATATGGAATTGGGGTCAGAGTGTGTCACCCCGATCTGAACCCCCTCCCCAAAAGGTTTTGTTTGTGTTGCATTTGCCAAATTTTGGGTTTCGTTTTGCAATTTTCTGTTTTTGTTTTCATCATTGTTTGGGGTTCTACACACAAATATGTATATAACATGTTTAGGGGAGCTCCCTCAAAAAGGAGAAGCAGCCAAAGCACACAAACAACCGAAATAACAAGCATACCAATTAGTTCCAACACACGTTATATATGTACAAGCCAGAAACGTGTTCCATTTCTCCTGTCATCCATTTGAAATTCCTAGTCAAAGGGATATGGGATCCTTAGCCATTTCAGTTCATTGAATAGTATCAATGTTTGTTGGTCCTTCAAGAGCATATGCATTGCATTTGAGTATAATTAATAACCTGCTTATTGTTTGTTTATAACCAATTAAGTGGAAGGGATATCTCATTGTCTAATGCACATTTTAATCAATAATCATGGATTTATTAATAAAATAAAATATATGAGGGTTCAAAATTGGTTTAAGATTTAAAGAAGTACTAGTGATGGGTATCTTAAAGTCGTTATCCTCTAGATATCTCTTTGTTTTTTACATTTTTGTTTGTTTGCTCACCAAGTTAAACAACATTTTGGGGTCCACAAACACACACTTCAAAAAGACACACACACACACATAGTACAGTGAAGCACATTGCAGTACAATATTTAGTAGAATAGAGCGGAACACACACACACACAGCAGCACACTCCCCGCACTAACACACACACACGCTGTCTGTGTGCTCCTTTGTATGTGTATCTCTTGTAAGCTGAACTCTTTTTACAGGAAAAATCATCAGTTTCTATTGCAAAGGTATTTAAAGCTGCCCCTGCTTCATACGACCCCCTCGCTTTCTCCTATCCACACACACACACTCACACACGCAAATCAAATACAACAATTACACACACATGTACATGAACAACTCCATAAAGTTTTGCATACTTTGGAGCGTGCGAATTGTTGCGAACTGCGCAAGGAACAGGGAGGAAAAAATAAAAAAAAAACCAGAGAAAAGCGAGCGGGGAATATTTCAAAATTCACTTGCTGCGATGTCGCTTGCCCCCCATCCCCCTCGTCGACAATTGTCATTGCCGTGCTTGCACGTGCATATTAAACACATTTTATTGTCACACGCACACGGCAACACTTTGGAAAATACACACACCCACACACACGCTCTACGGTTGACACTTGGTTGAGGCAGACATTTTTTGAAGTCGCGAGTTTCCGGCGCGTCGGCCATTTTGTGGCAACATTGCGCGTTTAATTTAAATTGCTTTGGCGTTTTCATTTCCTTTTTTACGAGTGTGTAGTCCTCTTCCTTTTTGATGTCCTCGTTCCTCATTCCAACCGTATTTTTTGTTGCCTCCCGCCCCCACGCTTTGCTTCTTGCATTTTAGTTGGCGCTTTGTGGCTCGCTTATATGTCCCCCTCTCTCACTTCTGGTACAGTTGTGTCGTTCTGTACTAATGCTCAGTGTGACCAGCTTTAACTATGACTCACTTTTTCTCGCTTTCTTGCTTACTCGCTCTGAACTGGCTAGCTAGATCTCTCTGTGCGTGGGACTCTACAACTTGCTTCTTGCTCTGTCAAATCGCTACTCGCTCTTTCAACTCGCTCTTGCTACTCGCTTAAGCTAATCGCTCTTGCTACTCGCTATCGCCGTCTTTCTCGCTCACCCGCTCACATTCTATCTGTACCTCTCTTGTATTGGTCAACCGTGTCTCACTCTGTTCAGTTCTGTTTAGCTCTTTTGTTTTGCCTCACGTATATTCGAATTGGCATTGTCTATCTCACTCTAATTAGTTGAATGTTCTCGCGGATCAACCACGAAACTCAGCACCACCCAAAATTGACTTATCGAAATTATTTACTTGCTTTATTTCGACATATCTCTCTACGTAAATCTCGATGTAAATGTTTACGATACGCATTGAACATACAGATTACTTATATGGAACTACGATAACGGATTACGATTATTAATTGTTCTCTTTGTGCTCTCTCTTTATCTCTCACTCCTTCCTTCTCTCTCTCTCTCTCTCTCTATAAATATATGTCAATCTCTATCTCTCTCTCTGGTGTGAACTTCTCTTTCGTACACTTTGTTTCTTTGTGTGCTGGATGTTCTTCCGATCTAAACTGACAATCGCATCCCATGACTCTCCTAATTCTCTGTACACATCGCACCCCTAGCCTGTCGCAGTACTACGAGTTCTCCAAGGATCAGGACTATATCTGCTCCACGCCCAACGATTCGGGGATGCATCTCTGTGGGAACTTCCCGCCCTATCGCATAGGTTCGCTGGTCTGCAATGGTAAGTTCCCATCACCATCACCATCCCCACCCATCCCCATAACCATCCCCATACCCATACCCATCTCTATCCCCATTTCCAGTCAACGTCAATTACATTAAGTTTAAAGCTAAATGAAGTGCAAATTGCGCTGTAATCAAATTTGATGGCATTTTTAATTGCCCTCTCGCTGTCGCTTAATGACAGCCAGAGCCACCGAAGCAATCACAATTACAAACAATACACTTTCCGCCCCATCTTTCCATTCCGCAATCCCGCAATCCGTAGAGGAGGCCAAGCTGTTCGACTTCAATGAGCCGACGAACACGTCCTGCGTCAATTGGAACCAGTACTATACCACCTGTAAGCAGAGCGGCGAGAATCCCTTTCAGGGCACGATTTCGTTCGACAACATCGGCATGGCCTGGGTGGCCATATTCCTGGTGAGTAGTATCCGTACACTGGTAGATCTAAGTGTGATTGAGAACTATATAATCATATTTCTACAAGCTAAGAAACGAAAGTAAATAAGTAGATCAGGAACTATGATAGTACTAAGAAAAAGCCCTTTCAAATACCATATAGCACATTTTCAAGACAACTATAATCGTGTTTCTTATATAGCTTAAGAAAGAGGTTATAGGAATGCTGTTTCCGCTCAAAATATTGACATATTACTGGTTTTAAATCCAAGAATAACTACTAATTTTAATAAACATGGAGAAAACTCGGACGTTCTCATCTGAGTTAAAAGTGTTCTTAAAAATAGAACAACATTTTTTAAGTAGAAAATGTTCTCATTTTTCTCGAATCAAGTTGAATTTGCGGTATTTACATTGTATATCCCAATAAATAAACTATTAGTCCAGTAGTCAGTAGTGTATACTTATCAAAAAGTTGTTAAATAAACTCAATTTAACTTTTCTATTCTCATCATTTCGTTCTAATATTGAGAACATTGATACCAAAATGTACTTACACGGTTTTCAAGAACGAATGTTCTCAATTCAAGAACAATGTACTTGAATATTTCTCTCTGCGAAGATATTCAATTCAAAGCACACATAATATTATTTCTTTTCTTTTTGTGTAGCCAACTAGGGTTCAACTTTGTTCAACAAATAGCAACAGGCGAAGAGCAGCGATAGAAACAACAAAATGTTGTATGCTAATTCGGTGTCAACTTCTGCCGCGAGTAAAACTCCCCAGCTCTGCTTTCCCTAAACTAACAAAACAAACGCCAGCAAATTTGCATCCCGTACCGACCGGGGATAGGGTGATAGTGATAGTTAAGTGATAGCGATTGGGATGATGATGCTGATGCTGATGCCGAAACTGATGCCAAAACCAATGGATGTTCCCCTAACTCACTCCACTCGAAGTGCACTCGTCCTCCGGGGCAGGCCTTAATTGATATGCCAATTACACGGCGCCCACCGCAAGCGAATCTATTGATATGCAGGTCAAATGATGTAATTAAGCCCAAATCAAGTGCACATTAAGCCATGAAACCAATAGCGGGCTATACGCTATGGTTTTGAAGAGGGGAGGGGGAATGTATTTAGTGCCCTCAGGGAGTTAAATCTGTATGGAATTTTGCTACATTTGAAGGGTCCTTATGTACTGATGATGAGTAACATGAGTAATATATTCCACACAAGGTGGTAAATGGTCAAGGCAAATCTAGTTATATACTCCTACATCGGTTTTTTTTGTGAATCAGATTTTGGCCAAAAATTCCCATTTGTAGTGGTTTTTCAGCCGAAGTTTAGCCAAATCAAGGCGTAAAGTTAAAAGACCGACTGTTCTGAGCAGCTTGCCACAAATGCTATCGATCCCTGTCACTTTAAGGAACATTTATTTTTTGACCCATATTCTCATTTTTTATAAGGGGGTACATCGGTTTTTTTTGTGATTCAGAGGTGGAGGAGGTACGAGATTAATAGTTTTTTGGTATATTTATGTTAGGGTTTTATGTCTTTGACAAATCTATAGACCTTCGATGACGGGGTCCCTGCTCAAAACAGGTCCCCCAAAGTGCTTTTTAATCTACCTTTACCGCAAACAGTATTAACCAGCTTAAGGTATTACCAAGGTTTAGTTAAATGCCTGACACTTTTTAATAGGATTTAAGATCAGCCAGTGCTGAATTGTTCGCGTTTCACCGCTTAAAGCCGCACATTACGCATACGTGACGTGGTCCGTGGCCAAAAGGCTATCCTAATTGCTCTGCCCACAACCCCTTCCCTATTTGGCCAACAATGGCAGGGCGTGAACAATAAAACACCAGCCATCTGCCTCAACTTTATACCTTTTTCCATATACTCGTACATTTATATTTGTGCAGAGAGCGCACGCTAATTACGGTGAAATATTTGTTGGATTTGCAGGTCATCTCGCTGGAGGGCTGGACGGACATAATGTATTACGTGCAGGATGCGCACAGCTTTTGGGATTGGATATACTTTGTGCTGCTGATTGTGGTGAGTGTTGTTGTTTTTTTTTTCTCCCGGGGACTTTGGGAGATCGGGGATTTCGGTGGGCTCAGTGGGTTAGCGGGTCACGATGGGTAAGGGGTCACGGTGTCTGGCGGCCACTCGCTTTGATCACGAATTGAATATTTAATTTGGGCAAGGGCTTAAAGTTACTGGAGACTAATCGAGCCAAAGTTTGTGGGGCATGAGCCCCGGGTATTTGTGGCTTACAGTTACCGGTGATTGTTGGCCGAGAGTATGCTAAGGCAATTTGGCAATGCAAATAAGTAAATTACTTTTAAACTATGACCACACACGCGCAGCAGTTTCGGTGCTCAGGTGGGGCGACCAAACAAAGCGGCAAAGTTTGTCTAGCAAAAATGCTACGAATTTCATGAAGCTAACAACATGTTGCAATGCATACAGCAGACAGCAGACCTTTCTCCACCCTTCCCTTCTCTATTTTCCCTTTTCCATTTGCCACTTTCACATTTTCCCACCCAGCGACTGTCCACTTTCATTCGCCAGTGCCATCTTCGAGTGGACTCCAGTCTGTTGTGCTGTCATTTGCATGGCAGGATTTGTGCTCAGGTGTCCTTGGACTAATTAAAAGCCTTTATGGCTCACAGACACTCACACAAGTGGACACGCTGGCACAGACACAGATACAGATACAGATACAGATGCAGACACACATGAGGGAAATTTCATTATTTATGTTTGAAGTTTACTCAACCTTTCTCCCTCTGTCTCTCTCCATCTCTATCTCTATCTTTGTCGCTGTTCATTTCGTGTGCAAAATGATTTTGCTCTTGTTGGCAACAACTTTTGGTATGCAAATAGTTTGCAGTTTCCCCAAAAAACCCACTCCCAACTCAGCTCCCTTCATTTGCTATTGGGCGCTAGCCATGGAAGGAAATTGCTTATTTATGTTTTATGCATTTTCTGCCAAGCTCACGAGTTCCAAATTAGAAGCGTTTTCTTTGTTTTTGAAATATGTTTTCAATTTAAAGTTTACCAACGTTTTGACTTTCAGTTCTCTGTGCCACTTACAAGTTGTGGAAATTGGAAATTCTTCGGGGGCCACCAATGTAGTAAGCAATTCTCTAAACTCAGCAGATCAGAACTTGGTTAAAATTTCACTAGTTTTCATTCATTTTTTCCTGCTTTTGAAAGAACTGAAAAGCAAAAATTTTACTTAGGTTTTAAGAGATTTAAACAAGAATCTTTAAGGGTATTAAACTGCAAAAATTGACCTCATTTAGTGATTTAACTTACTGAAGTAGAAAATTGTTATCTATGACTTCTATCTTTAAACTGCCCTAACAAGATAAAGGCTACCTCTTTTCAGATTAAAGCGATAGTTTGCAGCTTATTTTGCAAAGTTTTTCAGTAATTCGTAAGCCAGCTTCAACGAATTCAGGCAGACAGTCGGTGGAATCTGAAGTTTTGCGATTTTAAGTTTTAAGATCAGCATCTTAGCCGGCTTGTAAGCCCCCCGATGACCACCAGGTGGCGTCTGGCGATCCCCCAGCTAATTGAATTTAAGTGGCTGGCTGAAAAGGTCCTCCCAAAGGAGCCATCAGGACCCCCTTGCTGTGTGTGTGTGTGTGTGTGCGGGGGCATAAACAAAGGCATGGGAAAACTTTCAGCTTGCATTTGTCGCTGGCAGCAATGAAAACGAAAACTTTTAAACGGAAATGCGAAAAGTTTTTCAGCAACTACAAAGCGCCACCTGCTGGCGCGAACCCACTCTTTTTTTTTGTTCTTGGTTAACCTTCTACTGAATTTTTCAGAAGGTTTTCGATTTGTTTTAAATCTAATTACTAATTCAAGCGGATTTTGTTTTCTGCCACTGTGCTTATAGATTGGCTCGTTCTTCATGATCAACCTGTGCCTGGTCGTCATCGCAACCCAGTTCTCGGAGACCAAGAAGCGCGAAATGGAGCGGATGCGACAGGAGAGGGCCAGGTACACCTCCACCTCGACCTTGGCCAGCAGCACAAACAACTCGGAGCCAGCCACCTGCTATGCGGAGATCGTCAAATATATCGCTCATCTGTGGCGACGCTTCAAGAGACGAATGTTAAAGAAGTACAGATTATATAAGTATGCTGCTTGTACCTTTTGATTTCATTCAATTATGTCTTCCGTTTGTTATTTTAGTTTCCGGTTTCCGCTCCCTTCCCTAGTCTCTCTCTCTCTCTCTCTCTCTCTCTAAGTCTTTGTCTCTCTCAGTCTGTTTGATTTAATCGACCCCTCGACCCCCTCGAAGCAAATGAAAAGCTAGAGAAAGCTGTAGGCTTTAGTCACTTGGAACTTGATTGATTACTAACCCATTAAAGCGACTAATTAGCGCACTAATCTCTCGCCGAAAAGATCAGCTCAATTTGACAGGGGAACTTGAGCAGCGAACGAGGACTTTGACCCAAACACCTGTGATTTCCTTAAAAATTTCAAAGATTTCTTAATTATTTTTAGGTTTGCCCTTGAAGTGGGCACTTCTTTTTTCCAAGTTTAAGTTTTAAGTTGTGCATATTCTAAGTCAAATTTCTTAAATTTCTGCGTCATAAACAGATTTTTACTTTTAACTACCTCATCAATTTGGTTTGGATCTGTTTTCTACATTTATTTTGTTAAGATTTTTTAAGCTTAACCTTTTTTCATTTTACTTTAAGTTCCCTTTTTTTTAAACTTTGCTTTTACTTTAGCATCTGTTCGAGTGTTTCGCAACTTGCTTATAGTTTATAGTATATCGAGCAACTTAGTAGCGAGATTTGTGACCAGGGCATGAATATGTAAAGCTAGAAGTTTCAAGCTAGACCAGTTATATAATATTCAAAAGTGCATCTTACATTGCTAGTATGTATTTAAACCCCTCATTCACATACATGGGTATTTCCCTTTTTAAACTAAATATATTTTACCAAAAGGGTTCAAGGGTTAAAAATTTTAAGCACTTAATTTACTTTGGACAGTCAGTGAATAAATTCAAGGACTCTATTTTTAACAACCCTTTAATCAAGAGATCCAGAGTAGAAATAAAACTATATATGAGCTTAAATTTAAAAGTACAAATATTTTTCGATTCCAATGAGAACCTTTTATATGTTATTACATTTTAGAACTACAAGGGCTTGTGACAAAACCAAGCAGGTCCTTGCCTTCTCTGAGAGCAAACTTAAGCCTAATAATGTAGTCCGGTGACCCAGACCAACAAATCAAAGTCTCCCGTGGGTGACCCATCTCTGTGACCACAACCCCAACACCCTCCATGTGCCTCACACTATATTGCTGCCACACTGTGATGCCACATTTAGAACAGAGTACAGAATACCGAGTTAAGCGAATGGCACTGAATCCGCAGATGGGACTCGTGTTAATTTGGATCATTTGCATTTTTGTACTGTCGTTGTCCTTAGTTCATTTGATTGAATTATGTAATTGCGATTGTTGTCTGTCTAATGGCTAAGCACACACACACACACACCAACACACATGCGACATGGCACTGACACTAATGAGAGTGCACGTACAAATGACCACCCCACCCTGAATCACCCCTGAAACCAACCCACCCCCTTAGCCGATGCACGTGCAACGAATCCACCCACATCTCCGTGCCACCTGACCCGCCCCAAATCGACCCCAAAAACAGAGAACACGATGTTTTGTGTACAGACATGAGTGTGTGAAACCCGCGGACTGTCAGTTGAACTTGTCGCTAATCGAATTGTTATTCCCACCCACTCTGCCCCGCTGCCACCCAACTACCCAAACCGTCATGGTACACCGCCACAGGTACCAGCGACAGCAGCGCAAGGAGGGCCTACTCCCCAATGCCGACAATTTGACCTTCTCGCCGTCGCGGATCAAGTGCCATCATCCCAAGTGCCCCAAGTACAGTAATCGCAAGCCGTCCAGCATTCAGGATCAGATGATTACCGTCATGGTGCCGCTAAATTCAGCAGCCAGCAATAACAATAACAACAACAACAGCACCAGTAGCAACCACAATGGCAGTGGAAACCACAGTGGTGGTGGGGGCAACAATGCGGCTAGTTGCACCACAGTGGCCCTGGTCAATGGGATAAATGGTAGTGCGCCAGTGTGACCATGTCCTCGGCCCACCACCAGCAACATCAAATGCTGCAACAGCAACAGCAGCAGCCATAGTGCCACAATCCAATGCCGCCAAGTAGCGAACCCAGCAGATAGGACAAGTGATACCACAAGCATAGGCCGCAGATCAGACAGATGAAGTCATGGCAAACAGCACCAGTAATAACACCAACAAGTAGAACCAAATGGATAACAATGGGTAGTTGCCCAGTGCCCATGGATATGAGCCCAGTGTCCTCGGCCCACCACCAGCAACATCAAATGCTGCAACAGCAACAGCAGCAGCAGCAACAGCAGCAACACTCCTCCTCCGACAACACAGAGCAATCGCTGGCCCAGATGGAATACCCCGAAGTTCTTCGCTAAAAAAGTCCACAGCCCATCATCAACTGAAGCCCGAGGGCAGTGTCGCCGAGCAGAAGACCATTTTGCTCAAGTTCCCACAGCAAATGATCGATTCCGATCAATTAATTGTGAGTATAGCAGCCTTCAAGGCGATCAGCCCAATCCACAAAAATAGACCACCCAAATCGATTCGAACCGAAAAACAGTAAAGATAAACAGCTACAGATATGTATATTTCCAAATTGCCAAAACCAAAAAAAATAAATAGCCAGCCTACAAAAACAGACAGCATTCAAAACAGCAGCCACAAACGAATAAAATTAATAATAATAATAATCTCTCATATTTGTTATAAACCTTGCCAAATCGCATAGCTGCAGTTGGGAAATTTAGGCAAGGTACTGAACAATAAATAAGTTAAATAATATCTATAAATTGCCAGCATAAATTATGAAATGCAACTTCGGTGACACCGAAGCCTGAATGTCCTATGAAAATGCAAATCATAATTAAAAGGCAAGGGCATTCAGCCAGCGAACAAGTATCACCAAATATGCGATTCACATATAAAAGAATTTATAAGAAAAAAACACCTACAAATTGTAGATATAAACGATATGTTTGCATATTAAGTGCAGTTCAAATAGTTTTTGTTTGCTTTTTTGTTTATAAGCACATAGCGAATTGATTGTCCCATTGATAAATTCGTTGGCCATTGTTCTAGCCCCATTGTCCCGCCGAATTGCCCATTAATTATTTATATCATTTCGTTTTGTTTGCATATGTAAATGCCGTTTGAAAACAGAGACAATAACCAGACCCTGTTGTATGTGCATATGAATCCTATTAAATCCATTATAAATGTTAGACAAAGTCGTAGAAAATGGTTAAAGATTAAAGTGTATAAGGGGTGGTATTGGAAGTTCGCTAAAATTAAGTGTCGCAGTAAATTTGGTAATTAGAAAACCCTATAAACAATAAAATTGCCAGTAAAGAGGGTCAGAACATTTTCATTGATACCATAAAACCACTTTAATAATTGTTAGGTTGTAATATAAATAGACTTCGGGACCATTTAAGCTTCTGAACCCATGTATAATATTAATCTTCAATACTTCCAAGCCCATCTTAATATAGTTAATCGTTACTGGAGTTTGCTTGTAGTTAGTTCTAGACCCAGTTGAGCGTTATCTTCCATTTCATTCCCTCTAAGTCCGTGACAATGCCGTACAGTTGTTGCTACCCCACTGTAATACCGTTTTTATCGTACCATCGCACACCCGCAGAGCCATCCGTGCACCTCGGGCTTCCTCAGTCCGCCCACCTCGGCCAGCCGACGACCTTCGGTGATGTTCAACGAGTACGTGCTGCTGCACACGCCCCCCGCCCTCAACGCAGATCCGGCGGCGCCGGGCACGACCTCGACGGTCGCCACCACAGTGGCCACTGTTGCAGGAACGGCAGCAGCGGCCGCGGCAGCAGCAGCTGCAGCAGCGGCGGCCAGTGCCGGCGGTAGCAACAACAGCTCCGGCCTGAACAACCATCAGAACGGTAGCAGCGGTGTCGCTAGCGGAGCAACCGCCGGCGGAACGAATGAGAAAAGCAACATCTTTTCCACGGAGAAGATGACCCAAGCTGGTGATGGCAGCATATGGCAGGTATGTTTAGTGATATTTCTAGGCTTCAAGGTTTTTGGATCTTGTTTGTCACCCGAGGAGGGACATTCATCTACAAAGTCACTGTTTGGGCGCCATACTAGAACATTTTTTTAGTTAATCTTTTTAAACAATTTCATCATTTCATATACTCCTTAATATGGATTAAGCTTACCTATGTATATATATAAAAGTTTTTCGGTTTTTATGGGGCCCGAGGAGGGACTTTCATCTACAAAGTCCCTGTTTGGGCGCCATATTCATATTTCTTTGACTTCATCTCTTTTAGCAATTTTTCATTTCACAACATCTATATTTTTTGATCACCTATTCTAAAATTCCAATCCTATGTATTGCTTTTCAATCCCATTTTCACAGGTGAATCTACCGCAGACCATCGGCACCATTGCCAATCCGTATGCCGATTGCTCTGAACTGGGTATACACGATGCGATGACATGTCAAGAGCTCTTAGCATTCTCTGTGGCCTTTTCAGCGGCCTTGCCGACGGGCCAGAGTACGCTAGAGTCTTTCTACACATCGCTGGCCCGCTGCGATCCTCACACCGCTGAGGCGTTGAAGGCGCACCACAAGGCGCGCTCTTTGACGCCGTCTGGCCAAAATCAAACGCCACCCGGCGCCGAAGGAGCTGCTGTGGTGGTTGCCTCAACGGCCGGTGATCCCGGACAGACGCTCGAGCCCTCGACTGTGTCGGCTGTTGTGGGACCCATACCAGACACTCATGCGGCTCACCACCGCCGCAAGGAGCACTCGCACCATCATCAGTCCCACCACCAGCAGTCCCACCACCAAGATTCCCACCAACAGCCATCACACTACCAACAGGCTCACCACCATCACAATAACAACAACACCACCAGCCACAGCCGAAACTATCGCTCGCGGCAGGGTCAAGGCAACTCGCGAATGCGGGAACCACGCACTCCCACTGGCAACTATATGGAGGACTATGCCTGCTGCTATGATCTCTACCAGAATGCCCTGTCGCCACTGGACGAGCGGCCCAGGCAGAGATCGCCGACGACTCGCTGTCTGATTGCCGGCTATCGCTGTATGTCACGCGCCTGCAGCTGGGTTCGCCGCTATATAAGGCGATTGGTGGAGCACAAGTACTTCCAGCAGGGCATCCTGCTGGCCATCCTGATAAACACCCTGTCCATGGGCATCGAGTACCACAACCAGCCGCCGGAACTGACCGCCATTGTAGAGACGAGCAACGTGGTCTTCTCCGGCATTTTTGCCGTTGAGATGCTGCTAAAGGTAGTTGCCGAGGGGCCATTCCGCTATATTGCCAATGGGTTCAATGTCTTCGATGGCATCATCGTTATTCTCAGGTGAGTGAGGAAGTCACCCGGGTGATATGGAAGATATCTTTTTTGAGCCTTGATAATCCATCTGACTTCCATCAACCCCCTCCCCCTGTGATATTAGTGCCATTGAGATCTGTCAGACGTTCATGGGCAACGGAACGGGGGGTGGTGGCTCCGGTCTGTCCGTGCTGCGGACTTTCCGGCTGCTCCGAATCCTCAAGCTGGTTCGCTTTATGCCCAACCTGCGACGTCAGCTGTTCGTGATGTTACGCACAATGGACAACGTGGCCGTGTTCTTCTCCCTGCTCGTCTTATTCATCTTCATCTTCAGGTGAGTTCGATTGCCGATTATCCACCACCACCACCACAACTCACACCCACACACGGGCAACACAACACACCAACAAACACACTAACACACACAGACAGACTCACATGCACAAGAAATGAAGACACCAAAACTAAAACCAACACAAACACACACACGTAAGAAGAATGCGGAGATAACAAAAGTAATGATGAAAAAGAAAGAAATTTTAATATAATCCACAATCGATAGCCAAACCAAGTTATCGAACGCGACCCTACAAACAAAAAACTAATGTAATGAAAATGAGTGATTGACACAAATAACCCGAGCCACAGAAACAGAAACAGTTCAGTTTCGTTAGCCCATAGCAGTCGTCTTATGCCTAACAGTTCCTAGCGCCTCACTAGCTGCTTACCACATAGATTAATGTCCTACAACTAACCCATCCAGCCAGCCAACTGATACCCCCGCTCAGCCATTAACCCATCATTCTAAAAACCTATCACTTTCTGAGAACTGTGAACCTAAGAACATTTCAAAAGACAGTTTTGTCACAGGAAAAAATATCGATAATCTACATATTTTAAGGTAGTTTAATAATGTTAAAAAAAGTTTTTGAAAATTCACTAAGTGTCGAAAACAATGCTTTCCAGATAACCTCTACTTATGAAATCTATTATCATGCTTTTAAAAGTACTGATGTCTAGACTTCCTGAACTAAGTCCCAAATTCACTGGACTTTATTATTAAAGCTTCAGTACAATCATTTGGAACCTTGTTGGTTGTAGAGCCTACGACCATTTGAAGACGTTTCTCTTCCATCCATTCTCTGTCATCTATTTTCCCTAGTTCACAGGATCCCAAAGACCTCTACCCTTGTCCACTACATAATCATACAAAGATTTACACGCATCTCTTAAACTCCTGCCTTTCCCAGTCCCCACCCTCATTTATTTGCTTCTTCGACACGATCATTTCTACTTGAGTACCACTTGAGTATTGCCTATATGAGTAAAGATTTGCCTTAATGTCTCTCCAAGCGATCTCTAACGATTTCTCTCTCTCTTACACCACTTAATCTTACGTTCTATCTCTTGGTATCTTTCTCACTTACTGTCTCTGAGTAACATTTGAAAATTATGAAAGAATCGTAGTTAGATGACGTTACAAGTTGTGTAACTTTTTAAGCAATCGATCTCGTATCCGTACCAGCAAGAACTGTACCTGTATCACTTGATTAATATACATAATTCTCTCGCTATATCTTTCCCGATCCAGTTTACCCTTCTTTATGTCTCTCTACAACTCCCGAAGTGCCGTTAGTTGTCGTACACTTTGAGTCCCCGCTCGTTCACTTTGCATTACTCTTACACACATCTTGTCACAACTCACTAACACGGACTAAATATCTCCCTCTTCCTCGCTTTCTCTAATCTCAGAAATTCGCTGTTTCTATCACTTTCTCGCTCGGTTTATTATCGATTTGAGTTTAATTTCAAGCACCGACCCAGTCGCTGCCTTTCTTGATACATTTTTGGGATATGTTCTATGTTCGCTACTTAAAACCTTAAAAAAACCGTTTTCCAACGCATTACATTCACGCTCTCTCTTTCCAACTATATCGCTGTCTATCTCTTTCCTCTCCGAATCTCTTTCTCTTCGACACCCAATCATTTGATGCTCATTTGGTTTTACACGCTACAACTACAGCAATAACAGCCACAGAAACAATTAGTTAGCTTAGTTAGTTAGCCAAAAACGCTTTATTCCATTTCAAATTAACTAAGTGTGTATCCTAGCTTCTTTTAGCGTTAACCAACACTGCAACATATACATGTATACACTACCACACACAAAAAGCTCTTGGCTTGGCTTGATGCATTTTCCAGAAGACTTGAAAATGCGGGCTTGAAAGCTTTGCTGCTCGGCGCTTTTCACACGGTCCCAGCACACTCACGATCAAAAATACACTCAACAAAAAAGTATTTGGAAAAAATAAACTTAAGAAAATACTTAAAAAGATCGTACGCTTAATTATTGTGTAGTTGCAGTCGCTGCAGTTTGATACATACCTATATATACCCGTACTCTCTTTCTATCTCTATATATACCTATATATGATTACTTGTAATTGATATACTCGTATAACTATGAATATCCAGTACTCACACATAGAACGACAACAGAAAATTAAAAAACAAAAACACACACATTAGCTAGCCTAGTTGCTAAAGTAAACGTAATCGAGTTTGTGTAGTTAGAATAGAAAAAACACAACAGCCACACGAAACAATCGAATAGACTCTACATAACCTCACAAACTATATATTAACAAGCAATTAATGAACCAAACGAATTGTAAATGGAGCTGAACACGAAAAGAAGACAGCGCTATCACCGATAAAACAACTTTAAAAATGCCCCGAATAAACTCGCAAGAGAAAACTAAAATAAAGCAGAAAACAAAAAATCAAAATCAGACCAACAAAACAAACCAAGCCAAGGACCAATTCTTCCCCATTAACAGCAAGGCTTCGGCTTCTTAGTATCTTTGAAGCGAACTGTACCTTCGTTTCCTTTCTATTCTGTTCCGTGGTCCGATGTAAGTCGATTAGGTGGGCCTTAAAAGCCCTCTTTCTCACTTTCTCTCTTCCAAATATTTTCATTTGTTAGCTTTCGTTTGCCGCTCACTTCACTAACAAAAACACTTACTAGCTCTAGCCATATCTCCCTTGCTCTCTATCTCTCTCTCTCTTAGCTTTTCTTATCATTCACCCACACTCTATCTCTTTCTTTCTTAACTATCTCTCTCTCTATATATATATATTTTGTCTCTCTCTCTATTTCTCTCTTTGTCACACTCCACACAAATTAAAAAATATACTAAAAACAATCCAATAATAATCGAATAAAATGAAAACCGAAAATTAAAATAAACCTAAAAAACTGTTTGCTAAACACAACCCAAAAAAATACCCCAAAAAACCAAAAACACAAAAAATATATAAGAATATATATTTAAAATAAATCGAAAACGAAAAACAATCAAACAACAAAAATATATATATATATATCATATTATATATCAACAAAACCAAACCATCACTTTAGTATACTCGGCATGAATCTGTTCGGATGTAAATTCTGCGAGAAAGTTAACGGAGAGATGATTTGCGATCGTAAGAATTTCGACAGCCTGCTCTGGGCGCTCGTCACAGTGTTCCAGGTAGACCCATTGCTATCAGCCTTATACCATACGTAAACCTATATGTATATATCTATACTACTACTACTACTATTACTACTCCTAATGTTACGCCATAATCTGCTACTAATATGATTACGATAACCTAACTGTTCATAAAATCGAAAAAGAACAAAAAAAATAAGAAAACCCAAAGATATCCATTACGAATTCCCAGTGAAATACGTTTTGATACGTTGAGCATTTAGCTTTCTTTAGTTTTCATTTTTCTTTCGATTTCGATTTGTGATTCTGTTTTCATTTCCGTTTTGATTCGATTAACCCTTTGTTTTCCGCTTCAATCGATAACTGTTGTGACGTTCTATCGCTCTCTCACTCTCACTCTGTGTCTCTGACTCTGTCTGTCTGTCTAACCATGTGTTTTTTGAGTGGGTGCGAGTGATTTAGATATCTGAGATTGAATCAATAACTCGCACTCACAAAACTTTTGAGTTGTATAATTTCTTACCTAGCATTTCGGTTGCCAGACGTCGAGATCGACTAGCTAGCTTAGCCATCTTGCTCGCTCGCACTAATTTGTGGTGTGCCCTTGATTGAGTGTGGTATTCAGTTTAAGACTTGATTTCATATTTATTAACTTCGATTCCAATACCAATTACGATTACGATTACGATTCTTGATTTGGCATGCATGCGTTGACCGTTGCGATTACCGTTAGCAAAAAGTTAGTGTTAGTGTTAGAACTACCGTTTGCCGTTGGCGTTACCATTACCGTTACGAGTTCCATAGCAAGCAGCGCGCATCCGCATGTCGTTCGAAGTATTCGTATGTGGGAATGTCCATAAGCCATATGTTCATAAGATCCTTGTATGTGTGTATGTATTTGTGTGATGTACATTGATGCACCAGGTAAGCATTTCGGTTCAAGTATGTTGCGCGTTAAGCATGCTATAAAAATATAATGTAAATACATAACCGACTAGAATTGAGTTTGCATCCAGCATCTCGAACACTCTGCATACACTTCTCGAAAAGACTCACACACATTATTTGTACACCTCTTTCTCTGCCTCTGCCTTTGCCTCTTTCTCTCTCTCTCTGTCTCGCTCGTGCCTTCTTTGTGTACCATATATGTATATGCTTCGATTTTTGTCACACACTTTGCTCTATGTCCTACGTTTAAGTATATACCTATCTTTAGACCATATGCTATTTTAGACTCTAAGTTGTATAGAACTCCACCCAAAAACCCTCTGAAAGGAGAACTCTCTCTGTCTCTGTCTCTCCCACTGTCTCGCACACAGACACAGCAACATATACACAAGCATAACCAACCAATCTCCCACTGTAATCTGTAATGGAAGTCCTCCCTTTTACTCAGACCCTCCAGGCACACATACATATATACATACTTCATATGTACTACAGATTCTCCTAAAATCCGTAGAGTTCTTGGTCAGTTCAAGTTGCCATTTAAAAGGACACGAGACCAACTGTTGTCAAACTTTTTACACAGTCCACATTCTTAGGAGGTATATGTAAATATGCAAGCATTGAAGACAGATCGAGGACTACCCACCAACCACTGTGTATATAGACAGACAGAACTCACCATAAACGAGGTAGAAAAGATCAGAAGAATCCAGACCAGCAGAAGAACAGACTCCGTTGAGAAGACCCTTCTCTCTGTCTCTTTCTATTCTCTAAAGAACCACAAGTATCCCCGAATAACACCAAACCCACATACATATACATATATGTACAGGGACCACTAGATGAACCTACTACTCGTTTTTATCCTTAGACATAAGAATCGCAACTATATAATATATAAATATATATATACGAACCCAGCTCTCTCTCTATATCTATGAACCAGTTTATATAGCCATTAATGAACTATGATAACAGACACACATCTATGACTCTATAAATAAATACATATGTATACGGTATATATAAAACATATATATAAACCTGCAGCATACTCGGCATGTATCTGTTTGGCGGTAAGTTTTGTAAATTTTTGGACGAATCCGGACTCGAACGCGAGTGCACGTGTCCCGAAATAATCAGCCGGCATCCGCAATGCGAGTGCGATCGCAAACACTTCAACAACATTTTGTGGGCCACAGTCACAGTTTTCCAAGTAAGAACAATAATACAGCAATAAACTACCTACCATCCACTTACCCATAGACCTGTATCCCTAGATCCCTCCACCATCCCAAGTTGTACCAACCACAACCCTAAAGTACCCACTTTGAACAACAGCTACAACAATACCTATTAATACCACTCTGAAATTCTTGTGATTATGACAACATATTTAACGAATTCTTACGTATAGCCACGAAAGTTCCCAGTTCCTAGTTTCTGCTCTCTTGTAACTCCTTGTTTGATTTGATTTACAATATCCAGCTCCTAGCCTTTACCTAAGTACTCACCAGTTGATTGTATTCCCTGAGTTCTCTTTTATTTAGCTTTGTTTCCGACCTTTTTTTAATATTGTTTCAATTCTGATGCCAGCAAATGTAGTCGTAGAGTTCTTCACACACCCAAACAACCACAAAAGCTTTTACGCCAAGACATATGACCATTGGGTAGGCTCAAATAAAAAGAAATATGATATCATCAATTCCCTGTAAATATTTTCAATAGAAGGACAATCATCTTAACTTTACGATCAATGTGTGTGTATGTGCTTCCGCATTGGAGCTTCTCCCTTCTGTCACACAAACAATATTAGTAGAGATGTCAAGGACTATATAATTGGTTTTGATTCCAAAGAAATATTCCCATTCAGATAATTGCAATATTAAATGGAAAGGAAATACTTGCCATATTACATATTATGTTCATATTGGTTCCACAATTCCAGTCCTGAAATTTATTTATCTATTTCATGATCAATTATTCAGGTAACTAAAATATCAGTTTTTATTATTAATCGATTAATCGGTGATAAAGTTATCGACGCCATTGACATCTCTAGTACGCAGTATTCCGCGCAGCTGTACAAAGTAACCGAAGGTCCATTGAAAGGACTCACACTCGGTTGTCTCACATCAATCTTTTTCTCTCTCTATCCCTCTTCTATCTCTCTCTCCCTCTTTGTCTCTTTCTCTTTATCCCCATCTCTAACTCACACACACATACGACATAATCCAAGCAAAAACCGTTACCGCTGATGCTCCAAGTTTTGTTGCATGATTTTTGGGATCCTCACCTTAATTTGCCTCGGCTTTTGGCTTTCGGCTTTATAATTGTATGCCAGACCCGAATCAACTTTCGATTGCGACCTCTCAGAACCAGATGAATCATCTACAGCCACACTCATACAAACTGTATATATTGGTTTAAACCTTAAAGTCTTTTGTTTGTTCGTTGGTTTGTTTGTTTGTTGGTTCGTTGGCTTGTTCAAACCGAAACGAAAGTTTTTATTTCTCGATTTGCTGCTGCTGCTTTCCCCTCGATCTTTGCCTTTTCTATATCTCCTCCTTTCACCTAGTCGATCCATTTTAAAATTTGTTGCCAAGCAAGCTGTATAAAAAGCGTTGTTAATACATCTATATATTTTTAAAGTTGCTTATGCGCAATACAAATGTACAGCCACAGAAGTTTAGAGACAACAACAAAACCAAAATCAAATTAATTCGCCTCTTATATAAACCGCATTCGTATTGTATAGAAAAAATAAAAAAACAAAAAACAAAAAACAAAAATCTAACTAAAACCAAATAGAAAAACCCATTGGCACTTTGTGTACAAAGCAAAAACCGAATGGAGCAAAGGCTCCATTAAAAATGTAAACATTTTACAAATTCGTATATGCAAGAGTTTTGTGCGCTTTTTTGCTCTTTGATTTAGTCCGAGAGCCTTTGATGATTCTCTTAAATTATTTGCTTTTGGCTTTGCTTATAGAGTGCTTATATTATGGTTTAATCTTGATTTCGATTTAGTTTTGCTTTTGGTTCGTTTAATATGCCACACCACGAATTATTGTTTAAAAATGAATCAGTTTGAGCAGCTTTTTAACGGGCTGTCCACGGATATTTTGAGTCAAGCCGCCAACACTGCTTGATCTCCCTCAAGTCCCCATCTATAACTTTCAACTATCTCACTTTCTAAAGCTTTAACCACATGCATCCGAGTGTTTTTGGTTATGTCTGAGCTAAATACAAGAAATTCTAATAGTTCTGAAAAATCCAAGTAAAAAAAATTACTTAAGACATTAAAAACACTCTGGACAAATGTTTCTTAGCTTTTTTTTTAGTTTGTGGAACTCTTTTCTTGGCTTGTCCCTTGATTGCAGTTTTAATTTATTTTTCTTGACCACAAACGAAATACTTTGGTCCATCCCACTTTTGAGGACAAGTCTCCCATTAATCGATGATAATATTTTTAATTTAAACGCTTATTTTATGTATGCGCCTGAGTTACCCAAAACCAAAATGTACAAACTGCTAGTGTTTCTATGCTAACCCAATGTGTAGGTACACATAAGTATGCCAATCCCACAGGAAGTGTACTCATGTGTACCTATATATGTGCTAAAGTGACGTTTGTCGTTTTGATATCTGTCTGTCTTTTGTCTGACCTTTGACCTTCTTGCCATTTGTTTTCCATTCGTATTTCGTAACTAATAACTTCCTTAATTACTTACTTACTTACCTACTTTCTTTGCCACCCATCACAACATAAAATTACAAAATTTGTTTATTGGTATTTCGTTCTTTTTCTTTCGCTTCTTACGATATATATTCCGATATGTGTATCACGACATATATATCCATGCGTATGTATGTTAAATCTGCACCACGTTTGCCGCCCCGCCACTGCAACTGCCAAACTGCCACCGATCAACAACTACAACTCTACAACTCCAACTCTAATCAAAATCCAACAACAATCGACAACAACAACTACAACTCACGAAAAAAAAAAAAAAAACTCGAAAACGAAACCAATGTTTTTAGATACTGACGCAAGAGGATTGGAACGTCGTCCTGTTCAACGGAATGGAAAAGACAAGTCATTGGGCCGCATTGTACTTTGTGGCACTAATGACGTTCGGCAATTATGTGCTATTTAATTTATTGGTGGCCATTTTGGTTGAGGGATTCAGTTCAGAGGTAGAGTTTTGCCAACAACATCCCCCTGTCCCAAAAAAAAACTTGAAATATTAAGAACCCAGCCTTTTCGAAACGATCTTCGGATCCTAATCGATTGGCTTTTTGATACAAATTAAATGACTTCCTATACGCATGCGACGCTTCAAATTTTGATCGGTACAAGAATTTTAAGAGTACGTTCGTCAGGTTCGAATTCAGGATTTCGTTGAGGGGGATATTACAACAAAATTGTTGAGTATAAATTCAAAAACTTGGAATAAAATACATATTTCATATACCTTTTTCCCGATTGTGGGGATCTATCCCCCGTGGATCCGCGCATAAGATTCGTATTTAAAATCAACTTAAACAAAGATTAAAGTTTATAGTTTATTGTTAGCTAAATCGATTTGTTAACGTTGGGCTTAAAGCCTCAAAACATTCAAAATATTATATATATATTTTCTTTTTTTTATAACTTTTTAAAAATATCGTTGATTTTGTCCATGGTTATGCGAATGCCTTAAGCGAAACATTTACAAACCTACGTATATTTGTAACCCTGATTAAAAATAATTCATAAACGAGTCAGTTGTGGGTAGTTTCTTAACTGCTTAAGAAATAGTATGGTAAAAACCATTTAGTTTCCCTATTTCGTAAAAAACTAAGTTGAGTTAGGGACACCCAGATCATAATATGAAGCATCGGTTGCGTCGCGAACCCAGTCCCACCGGCCCGTGCCTCCAATCCCCGCCTTTCTTTTTTAATCCACCGGCTGTGGCCGGAAGTGCCAGCCGATCCGGGTGGCCAGCGAGGGAGTGGGTCAGCCGACCCACCCAGTGCCACCATCCCGAACCGAAATCCATGCCACGCCCCCCCCCCGCCGGTTGACGAGAAAGTCTAATTTTGAAATTTTGATTCCCTCAGCGAAATGAACGTCGCGAGCGCGAACAGCGCGAGTTGGTTAAGAAACTGCGCGAGGAGACGCTGGCCGAGAACTACAGCGATGGTATGTACGATGAGTCGCGGAGCGAGGCGGACTCCTCGACCACCAACGATAGTTACTACGAGGTGCGCAACCGCTGGCGATCGGCGGAGGATGTGCGCAAGGTAAGTGAGCTCGAACGGATCGGGGATCGGGGATCGGGGATCGAGAAGATCAGGATCCCCTCCCAAAAACCAACCAGGTGTGATTGATTGAGATGCATGCTGCATGCGAGTGTGTATTTGTGTGTGTGTGTCTGTTTGCTTGAGTGTCCCGAGTTGAATCCACGGTTCGTAATCCCCCCCAGCTGCAGGACTCCGCGGAGCACATCGCCGAGGCCAAGAGCAACATGCACCGCCAGCGCCTGCTGCAGCCCACCCACGACTACCAGATCAACGAGCTGCCCGCCTCCTCTACTGCTCCATCCGGCTCCGGCACCTCTGGCGCCTCCGCATCGGGTGAGCGGGACAGGGAACGGGACAGGGATAGGGTGCGGGACAGAGAGGCGGGCGGCATGGGCAGCATGGGCGGCAAGGAGGAGGGGGCGCAGCATGCCAAGCCGCGCGGCGGCCTCAAAAAGGTAAGAGCACCACATGGAGCGATCCTCGCAGACAGACATGAACACTTGACACCACCTGCACCCCGTCGCACACAGACATACTCCATCAAGGAGCGGCGCAACGAGGCGCCACGCCTCTCCAAGATCCGGCTCGTCCGGGATCCGCCCATCATCACGACAACGGCGGCCACGCCGCAGGACTCGCCCAGCACCACCTTGGAGCCGGGCATGAGCTTCCGCCAGTGGGGCGACATGGAGGTGAGTGCAGCAGCAACCTCTGGCTGTAAACGATGTAGCGTCCAAACATGTTTTAACCCATGAACTCTCATCCAACCAGCCACCCACTCCGCCCTCCCCCTCGCTTTTGAGACCGCCGAACATCTTTACCGGCGGACAGCGGACTCTGGACGAGGGCATACCCTCCATCGATCTCATCCCGCCCTCGCCCGTGCTCTCCCACAAGCCCCTGAACATCCTCAATGCCAGCCAGCTGGGCGTGGGTGTGGGCGTGGCCGGTGGAGTGGGCGGGGGAGTTAGTAGCACTGCTGGCAGTTCGAGCAGCATGCACAGCGTGATCATTGACGACATCTCGAAGAGCTCCAGCTCGACGGCAGCGGCCACGCCCATTTATGTGCCCACCATCTCGTCCTCGGCGGAGGCGCAGAGCCAGAGCCACAGTCTCAACGATGTGAGCGTGGGTTCCAGTCCGCCAGCCGGTGATATGGCAGTGCCCGGATTGGGTAGGAATGCCAACACTGGGGCCTCGACAAGTGGCAGTTCGTCCAGTGAACGCCTGCCTTTGGCACCGCCGCCCCAGCAGGGGAGTTTTAAGCAGCGTTTAAGGCGTGGCAGCTCCAAGAAGCGACGATCCTCCGCCCTGGCCCTGGCCACCGAGGACAATCCGGCTCGAAGGACCCAGGAGGAGGAGGAGGAGCAGCACCAGCAGCAGCAGCTGAATAACGGTGGCGACAACAGTTTTTTTGCGAGAAGCGGCAATACCGCGGTCGGCGGTTCCTCCTCGGGAGCCAAAGAAACGAATCGCTTGAGCCCACAGAACTCTATAAGAAGGCTATCAAATACACTGAGCATAGGCAGTGGACCCGTGGGCAGTCGTCGGGCCTCGGCCTGCATTTTCAACTCGCAGGTATACCAGAACCTTAATCAGCCGCCCAAACTGCGACCCGGATCCGGTCAACGCCGGATGAGCTCCATCGAGCTGGCCTTCAGCAAGACCTCGCATCTGAATCTGCACAACTTGGAGGCGAACCGCAAGTCGCTCTCGTACACGAACTCAAAGATGGACCTGGACAAGTGGAACAAGTCGTACGGCAATCTCAATGAGCCGGACAACATGCTGCAGCAGTACATGGAGGCGCGGGACAAGCGCAAGAACTCCATCAGCCACTATAACCTAAAGAAGCGGCTCGAGGAGAAGGAGCTGCAGCAGCTGCAGCAGCTCCATCAGCAGCAGCTGCTCCAGCAACGGCAGGACTCCTTCTCCTCGACCACCCAGCAGCAGCATCAGCAGATGCACCGCTTGTCCAAGGACCAGCAGCAGCTGGCGATGCAGCCACATTCCATGGTGCCAGGCGGCGGCGAGCGCTACTCAAAGCTCAAGATGCTCATCGAGCAGCTAACGCCCAAGCACTTTACCACCGAGCGCGAGGACTACTCGCTCTACATATTCCCAGAGGACAACAGGTATGTGGAGGGGTGGGTCCAGGTTTCCCCTAAGAATTTCATATGTTTTCGAATAAGTACACTGAGAGAATTTTGACGTTCTCATCGGTGTTGAAAATATTCCTTAATATAGAACGAAATTTTTAAAGTTGAAAATGTTTTCATATTGATCGAATCAACTTGAATTGGCGGTATTTACATTGTATATCTCAACAACTAAACTATTAGTCCAGTCAGTACAGAACATTTACACGGTTTTGAAGAACGAATGTTCTCAATTCAAGAACAATGTTCTTGATAATATGTAAATGCTAAAGAGGTCTGTAGAGTAGGGTACACTAAGAACAACACTGATAATATAATGAAGATAATTTTAAGGAAATTCAATATCATTTCTATGATATAACTTGGATATGTTCGCCATCTTGCTTTCTGCTGTCTTTTTCTATTTCACAGTGTGTCGCATACTACTGCCTCGCTCTTACCCAGAGTTATGTTATGCTATCTCGCTCTTTTCCTTCATTATCTATAAAAGAGCATTTTCAAAGAGAGAAAATCATACTTATAAAACTTAGAGGAAGCTACCGAAATGATTACCATAATGGTATTTTCAAATGAACCTTTTTGTAATATCAATAAATTATATAAAGAGGAAATGGTTTTCTTATTGAATTTATAAAACAGTCTATCATTCTCTCTTCTAATAGTCTTTAGCTTATTCTCTTACATTGTAAGTCCTACAAACTCTTGAACAGAAAACAAATCGGTTACCAGTTTATTGACTTTGGCTCTGCGATTTCGCTTCCTGTTTTCCGTTCTCCTTTTCACCGAGCGGAAAATTCAATTTCAACTTTGTCTGCGAGTTGCTCATTTCACGTATTTGCATCTCGACGCCCTCCGCTTTTTTTTTTAGGTTCCGGCAAATCTGTACGTGGTTTGTCAACCAAAAGTGGTTCGACAACGTGGTCCTGCTGTTCATCGCGCTCAACTGCATCACCCTGGCCATGGAAAGACCAAACATCCCTCCAAGCAGCACCGAAAGATTGTTCCTGGCAACAGCCAATTACGTGTTCACCGTCGTCTTCACCGTCGAAATGTTTATCAAGGTGAGTGGGTCGCACATTTCTCTTCATCAGAACCTAAATGTGATTATACAACAAACAACAGGTTGTGGCCACGGGAATGTTTTACGGCCACGACGCCTACTTCACGTCCGGCTGGAATATCATGGACGGATCTTTGGTTACCATTTCCATAATTGATTTGTTAATGTCCCTGATTAGCGAATCGAGTCCGAGGATATTTGGGATTTTAAGGGTAAGTACGGAAACGCGGCCCTTTTGGACACTTTTGCTATCCGAAAGCAGCAGCAGTAGCCAGCAGTCCTCAGTCGACCAGAAAACCAGATAACCTGAAAACCAGAAATACGAGCGATTTACAACAAGCAGACCATCAACCAGAACAGCTACTACCAAGAACCACGCCCAGAACCGACCACGCCCATTTAATTGGCTGCTGGGCTGCGCACTCGGATCAGAAAAGCTATTCGCCAAATCGCTAATTTAAGGCTAAAGCTAATGCTAACGCTCGAAACCACAATCAAAACTCGCTCGCTGTATCGCCCCGAAAACACATAGCTCTGTCTCTGTTTCTCTGCTGATTGGCCATCTCTGTCTTTTTATGTGCTCTTCTTTTTCTTGCGCACACCCACACACCCACACACTCTCACACACTCTCACACACACCCACACACACCGTACACTTGATCCAAAATTCTTCAACAATACATTGTCTCAAACTTCTTCAATTTTAATTTCATCTTCTATTTACGTACACACATCTCGTGTCTATCTCTATAACTCATGTATATAATATACTTATATATATTGTATATCTCTCTCTGAAAACTTCAGGTAAATTTCCGCTGCTATATGCGTTAATCAGCAAGAAAATCCAATTTGTTTTCACCATTTATTATGTGTGTGTAGACCCCCCTCCCAAAAAAAAAAATATAACTTTTAAAAGTACCCCCAAAAAAACCCAAAGAAAAAACAAAAATTCTAGTAATCTGTTGACTCGCCTTCATTGAGTTTCGTATTGTACATAGTTGATTGTTTCCCTTTCCTATCGACAACCTCCAAATAATAGGGTTATGACACTTGTACTAAAAATGGCCCAGAGCCAGAAGGATCTATCAAAAGTATATAACTTTTCATTCTGTATTAGTTGTACAAATTCCTTCTAAAACTCTTTCTCAGCTTTTAGGTTTTTTATTTAATTAGCTATTGAATTATTTCATGTGGCCAGTAGAACTATCAATTAGTGTCATACCCCTATACAAATTAAGCCACCATTTGAGCTTTCCCATTCCACTCCAATCGAAACCCGAAACATCTCCATCTAGCTATAAATGCAATCGCCCCATCTTGTTGTATTCTTACCGATCAATCAATTACCATCGCCTTGCTTTGTTGTTCAAGGCAGTGCTGCCAATTTTATATTATTTAAAGGCGTTACTAAGCCCGTTTTATGTGAGATACATTTTTTAAAGTAATACCATTCGTTACAACACACCAGTGCGGCAATTTTTGTTTTCATAGTTAATAAAAATTAATTTATGTGTAGTATTTCCCTATTGAAAATCGGCGCAAAATATTTGATTTTTAAGATATAACATTGGAATCCATTAGAAATTTTATTTAATGCATTTAATATCAGAAATAATATATTAACTTATAATATTTTGTTTTTAGATGTTCTATATCTTTAAACTTTTGCCCGTAACTGGTGTGTTTTGTTGAGATTTTCAATTATGTTGGCTTCATTCCAAGTATATCTACATGGTTTTTACTTCATGCTTTTACCACATATGTGGCGCCGCCTGGCGTCCGCTGGCCGAAGCGGGCCGAAGCAAGCAGTGCCTCCCACGCGGGGGCACCGCCGATAAAGCAGTGTAGCCGATGCATCAACCACAACAACTCTTCTCTTCTCGTCCTTTTCCGATCTGTTCTTTTCCGTTTCCGCCCACCCCCGGAAAACCGATGTCCTTGCAGGTGTTTCGACTACTCCGATCCTTGCGGCCGCTGCGGGTGATCAACCGAGCCCCGGGTCTGAAACTAGTCGTGCAAACGCTCTTATCGTCCCTGCGTCCCATCGGCAACATCGTCCTGATCTGCTGCACCTTCTTCATCATCTTCGGCATCCTGGGCGTCCAGCTGTTCAAGGGCACCTTTTACTACTGCGAGGGCGAGAATATCAAGGGCGTCCGCAATGCGGACGAGTGCCGCCGCATACCGGGCAACGTGTGGACCAACCGGAAGTACAACTTCGATGACCTGGGCAAGGCCCTGATGTCCCTGTTCGTCCTGAGCTCCCGCGACGGCTGGGTGAACATCATGTACACCGGTCTCGATGCCGTCGGCGTTGACCAACAACCGATCGTGAACTACAATGAGTGGCGACTGCTGTACTTCATCGCCTTCATCCTCCTGGTGGGCTTCTTTGTGCTCAACATGTTCGTGGGCGTTGTGGTGGAGAACTTCCATCGCTGTCGCGAGGAGCAGGAGAAGGAGGAGAAGATTCGCCGGGCGGCGAAGAGGGCTCTCCAGATGGAGAAGAAACGGCGACGGATGCACGAGCCGCCCTACTACACCAACTACTCGCCCACACGGATGTTCGTTCACAACGTGGTGACCTCGAAGTACTTTGACCTGGCCATTGCCGCAGTGATTGGCCTGAATGTGGTCACCATGGCCATGGAGTACTACATGATGCCCAGTGGCCTCAAGTATGCCCTGAAGATCTTTAACTACTTCTTCACGGCCGTGTTCATACTGGAGGCGAACATGAAACTTGTGGCCCTGGGCTGGAAGCTGTATCTCAAGGATCGCTGGAATCAGCTGGACGTGGGCATTGTCCTGCTGTCCATAGTGGGCATTGTCCTGGAGGAGCTGGAAACGAAGATCATACCCATCAATCCGACCATCATACGGGTGATGAGAGTCCTGCGGATCGCACGGGTGCTGAAACTACTCAAAATGGCCAAGGGCATCCGGGCTCTGCTCGACACCGTGATGCAGGCCCTGCCCCAAGTGGGCAACCTGGGACTCCTGTTCTTCCTGCTCTTCTTCATCTTTGCGGCACTGGGCGTGGAGCTATTCGGGCGACTCGAGTGCTCCGACGAGATACCCTGCCAGGGATTGGGCGAGCACGCGCACTTCGCCAACTTTGGCATGGCTTTCCTCACATTGTTTCGCGTAGCGACTGGCGATAATTGGAACGGCATCATGAAGGACACGCTGAGGGATAATTGCGATGACGCGGCCGATTGTGTACGCAATTGCTGCGTCAGCTCGGTTATTGCTCCCATATTCTTTGTGATATTCGTGCTAATGGCGCAATTCGTGTTAGTGAACGTCGTCGTGGCTGTACTGATGAAACACCTCGAGGAGAGCCACAAGCAAATGGAAGACGAGCTCGACATGGAGGTGGAGCTCGAGCGCGAGCTGGTGCGCGAGCAGGAGTTCGCCCAGGAGCAAAAGTTGTGCCAGCAGCTGGCGGAGGCGCAATCGAAGGCGGCCGCTCCCCCGCGCCCCCTGGCCAAGGTGAAATCGCTGCCGAAGAACTTTATCTACAGTACGCCCTCGCTGGACAAGAAGTTCCCATTGCCGCTGGGCACGGCCAATCCCAGCTCGAGTCTGACCAGCTCGGCGGCCACCAATCTAAATCAGGTGGCAAGTGGTGGCCCTGGAACGGCCACAAGCAGTGGGGGTGCGGGCTCCGGAGCGGCATCCGCTGCGGCATCTGGGGCTGGACCACGGAGACAGACCGTCCAGTACTTCCAGCAGCCACCACAATCCATGCTCGGCTTGAGTCTCGCCGAGATGGGCGGCACGCTGACGCCTCAGGCGCTCGGCGCCCGGCTGGGCGAGCCCTTCGGCGGCCCATCGACGGCAGCGGGAGGCGGTGGAACGGGCGATGCGCTGGCTGTGGGCGTGGCCGGCCTCCCGCTGCCGCCGCTGGACAATCGCCGTCGCGGGCGTCGCGCCTCCGCGGCCGCCGGCTTCCGCAAGCGCGGCGTGCTGTCCAAGGAGCGCTCGCTGGACGAGCAGGCCATCCGGAAGAAGAATCTGGAGGCCAAGCGCACAAGCTGCGACTCGCTGCCCTGGGGCGGCCAAACGTACTGGGTAAGTGCCGATTGGCCAAGCTTTCGGCTACCAGTTACAGTTTTCTAAACTTACTTCGAGTTTAATTTAAAATTAATTTTCTTTTAAGTTTTTCCTCTCTACAGATTTTCATTTGATTTCAAAATTGTTAAAGAATATTAAGGAATGAGGCGGGTTACAAAGAGGAAATTAAACAAGTAGGGTGAGGTCTGCAGGTTAAACTCGCTCAAGGCCTCAAGATGAGGAAAACAGGCGATCATCAATGGTATATTCTGTTCTTTCCTGGGGTTCAGTAATTTTTTAAGACTTAAGATATCATATATATGACATAGGAACTACCGGTATGCATTTATACAAATCTACCGCATACGAGCATATATAAACCATACCGTTCATTTAATATAATTATGATTTTAGTTGAACGATATGGGCTTAGCTGTAAGGTTATATAAAAGTTGGTTTGAAAAAGTTAGCTTCCTTTCTTGTTTCTTAATAAATCCGTTTTGTTGTAATATGTAGATAATATACGTAGCTAATATATGAAGATATGAGATCAATAAAAATGGAAATAGTTCATTTATGAAATAAATAAAACAAAATTAAATAATTGAGATAAGCCAAAACTAATAGGATACGAGTTTAGCCCCCTGGACGTCTAGTTTGTTGATGCTACGGATACTTCCGGCTATAAGATCACACGATTACACTAATCTGTTACTCTTACAAATAGCTTGAAGAGGTATAAAGAAGAGGAACGAATGGATTTGGCTTGGAATATTTAAATAAGGAATTCATTTCAATAAAAAATTGATGATTTTTATATGTCCGGTTTTTAGAGATACTTGATATTTTAATTACATATACCTTGAAATTCTAATAAATTTATTTTTATCGGACCAGCAGGCCATCCGACGACGGAATCTGGAGGCCAAGCGCACCAGCTGCGACTCGCTGCCCTGGGGCGGAGATGCCCTCGACTGCCAGAGCGGCACGATCTTCGAGAGCCTCGAGTCGGATGGGGGAGGAGTGGGGGGTGGTGGTGGGTCCTACGACATACGGAGCGTGCGCAGTGCCGATGTGGGTCACTTGGAGGCGGAGGGAGATGTATCCTCCGCCCTGTCGGTGGTCAGTGCCCTGGTGCCGCCCGTGGCGACGCCACTGCCCCCGCCCCTGTCCTTGCCCATAGCAACGCCCACGCCCTTGCCCATGCCATCACATCCTGCTCCACGCAGACCCTTCGGATGGTCACAGTCCGTGGACCAGGGCTGCCTGAGGAGCAGCCTCCTTCTCTCCGTTCCCAGATCCATGCCGCCGCGCAGTCGCAGTGGCAGCACCAAGCAGCTCTTCAAACAGCAGGCCTTGGACGAGGATGCCGACATGGATGAGAGCTCGCTGCTGCTGCCCACAACTGCTGGGGGATCTGGTTCAGGTTCAGGATCGGGATCGGGATCAGGATCAGGATCAGGACCAGGTCTGGTGGCAGTCATAGCCTCGAGTTCGCTGGACATCCCAGAACAGAGTGGCAGCTCGAAAACCCTGCCGGATATCGCAGCGGGGGTCAGTAAATCCGACTCCTCGGACATTCTGCGGATCATCAGCGAGCGCAGGCGCATGGATCAGCGGGAGCAAAGGGATCCCGAACAGGATCAGGACAACGAGGCGGAGGACAGGGACAGCGACTACAAGGAGCTACTCCTGGTCAAGTCCCCGCAGTCCTCCATGGACTAAATGCAAACAACACACACACACACCCTCTCTAGATCTTAAAAAGTAGTTATCTCTAACTAGGGCCAGGTTTACACTAATCATAATGTTAACTGTAGAGCTGATTAACAAGAATAGTAGCTAGGATAACAGTTAAGATAGTCCTTACCTGGCTGACAGAAAATATCCTCTAGCATGGAAAGTCTCAGTTTGTCTATCCGAAAGCTGTAAACTTGGAAGGAGCTTACTTTCAACCTCTAAAGGTCTATATATTCTCTATACCGTGAACTTGGCCGTCATTAAAGAATACTTTAGGGAATTTTCTAAAAACTATAACTTTAACATTAGGCTTTAGGCAAAAAGATCGAAGAGTGTGGTGAGAAAACACAAATATTGATTAATCGATAGCCATTATAAACGATAAATGGTAAGTGGTAAACTCTTAGCCACAAAAACGAAAATAAAAACCAGTAAAATAAAATTAAAAGCAAAGTTAAGTAAAGCAAGGAAATGAAAAGAAAAGCTAATAAGCTAATAAGCTAAATTGTCAACTGTTTTTAGTGCAATCCTACGGTTTTCATAACTTTAACAAGCAGAACTTATAAGAAAAACTAAAAACTAAAAAATAGATCGCCAACGATCGATCGGTCAAGAAGATAGCTATGTTTCAAGTTGATTAGAGTGTTTTCCGTTTAAATGTAGCAGTCGAAAACAAAGATTACCCAGACGATGACGATGATGATGGATTATATACAAGTGTTATATGCGATTTACATATATACAGTTATATTACATATACAGTTACTTATAGGGATACTGCATTCGAAACAAAAATGATGGAAATTTGTGAACAAAGAATCATCAACTCTGTGATTAGCTCTTAAAGTTTAAACGTTTATGTATATGTATGTGTGAGAAGGCATGCAGACACCCAAAACAAAAACACACCACAATGCTATCTGTATATAGAAGGCCTGTATGTAAACATATGTATTCGAGTGTATTTTACGTAGCTAAGCCAAGGAAAAAACTAACGGAATGATACCGAATACAGCCATCTGAGCGAGCCCATTGATAAGCAATAGACAACTGTAGCTCATAAGATCGTACCTAACCTAAAAACGAATAAAGCTGCGTTGTTCCAGGGTCAAGGATACCTTGTCCAACAAAAAAGGACACGGTAAAGGGGAAAACAAACAAAAAAATAAGAACTTTGTGCAAACGAATTTACTTAGGTACTTAAACACACACACACAGACACACCTATACAGATAGCTATTACGATCTGGTCGACAATCTTTGCTAAATCTCCATGTCTGTCTATCTCTCTATCTCCCCCTAAAGGCTTCCAAAACTTCAAGAACCCGCCCCTGATCAAATAAACAGACATCTGAAAAACAGTGCCAACGCAGCAAGGGTATTCAGGATGTTTTTTTTTTATAAAAAAAATAAAATTACTTTCAAACCTAACCAAAAAAAGCAAAGAGTAAGGCAGCAAGAACTACAAGAACTTTAAAAGGTAGCATTTATAAAGAAAAAAAAACAAGAGAAACGTAGTAGAAATTTAATGATTAATGTTTAATGACTATATATAGTGTATATATGGAACTATCAACGAATTACAATAGAGTATCAAGATATTTCTTCAGAAGGCATAACTAGAACAAGACAAAGTGCGAGGAATCGAGACGAACACTAACTTAACACTGTCAATTTTTCAACATGGTCTAAGCTAATTTTTCAAGGAAAACCAAAGATCTAAGAATGAAAACAATTTTACACTCTTTGTACACACTGTAAAAAACGAAGTGAAGGAGCTCTCCAGTTTAGATAAACTTTAAAATCAAACTTAGCGAACAATTCGGTCGAATGCGAGGAAAGAAGAAGCAACAAATTTAATTATACGATAATTTCATCTGTGCCTTTCTCTACGAATATATATATACACATTTATACATATATGTATACATAACAAATGTATCAGATACTGTCTCTATCTCTTTCTACGCTCCCTCTCCCTCTCTCTCACACACACACACATACACGAGGAACTCGCCTACACCAAAATCACCACACCGAACAGTCACCAAGCAAGCAGTGCGAAATATAACGGTAATGGCAAGCAGTGCCTCGCGTAACTAAAAATGCAACTCTGAAAACTATTTTCGAGGCAGAACGAAGGAATAATAATGAAAAACAAAACAAAATAACTACTTAAGCCTACTAATAAAAAGAAACCGAAAATACAAAAATACAACATGGAAGTAAAAATACAAATTAAATTAAACGAAAGCATGAAGTTTATAGGTTAATGCGCTAGTAGTTTTGAACTTTTTTTTGTAATTTTTTAATGTAGCCGCTTTGAAGTAAACCAAATGAAACTATATTCGTTTTTGGTTTTAGTTGTGTGTGTCTGTTTTTTTGTGCGAAGCGTAAAGCAACTATAAAGAGCGTTTCTTCTTGTTGATTAATAATTAGGTAAACTGCTACAAAACATAAGTTAATTAAAGAAAAACAAAAAAACAAACAAAAACCAAAGCCAACAACAAAATTAGAAAAGTGAGTTAAATTTAAAATTAATGCCATAACGGCCAACGAAATGCAAAACTAAGCAAATTTGCTTTTAGCTCCATGCAGGTACAAGAGACCCCCTCAAAAAACCATTCATTCTTTGCAAAGTAAAATAAGCCAATTAAATGTGAAATTGTTTAAGAAAGGACATAAGAAACTAAGCACTATCCTCTGCTGCAAAGTAAGAAACCGGAACTCTGTTAGACAAATAGCCAATAGCCAAGTTGTAATCATTTCGTTGCGTGCCCTTTGCGTATAATTTGAATGGTTCGATTGGTTCCACTAGATACGTACATATATACTGAGAACACATACTATGTAAAGCAGCGAAACAAAACCAAAAAACGAGCATTATAAATTAAAGAGAATTTGAAAAGAATCACTAACGAAGCACCTCGCTTTTCCCAGTTCTACTTTTCCAGGATTAACTGTTCGAAGTGGTACTGTGAAAATACGAGATCAAACTGATTTTTGGATTGGTATTGGTAAAGTAACAGAATTTTCCCTTAAAAAAGATACATTTTCCGTACTTGTTCTTTATTCACGAATATAATGCCGGTAAGGAGGGTTGTGAAGAGTGCGGTTCCAGGGCTTTTGTGGGCTACTCCGTTAACCCCGCTCGTGTACAGCTACAAACACACTATAAATCTATATAGCCAGGTATAAAGTACATATATGCATTACTGCGCTAGAACAAACAGAAAAAAAAATACAGAAACCTACACAAAAAATTGGAACGTAACAGACGATCCTCAATCTCATCGCATTCCATCGAAGTTGTTTGTTGCCGCAGGTGATCTACAGTACTCGTATTGTGTATATAGGTATGTATATACTATATAGTATGCGATATAAATATATAAAAAAAAACATCGACGGTAACGGCGGACTACCACACGCTGCACTTTTCCGCCGGATTCATGGTGCTGCCCAATGGGCAATTGTAGGCGCTGGCGAAGTCGCGCGAATTCGAAAGTGGCCCCAGGACACGGACGAATCCCGGCGAGTGGACCGCGGACCGGATCTTGGTCAGAGCGTCCTCCGGCCGCATCGATCCACACCAGATTTGGGCGTAGTTGAGAAAGAACAGCTGGTCGTGGGTCATGTTCAAGCCGGGCAACTGCTGCTCCCGCCCGTGCAATGTCTCCCATTTCTTGTAGGCCTGGAAAAGAAAAGAAGGTAGTAGTAAACCTTTATATACGACTAAATTATAGTACCCAGTTATATCTTTAAAGTTTACTTTTTCGTCAAACAAAAGTAAACATTTCAATACAATTGATGTATGTTTTCTAAATATAATAGAAGTCAAAGAATGTTAGTGTTCCCCAGCGATATGATTAAAAGTTCTTACATAAGAATGTTATGTTTCCAATATTTTAATAACATCCATCGATTTTTTATCGATATACCACAGGCTGACAAGACTATTCCATGTATTAGGGAACTTTAGCCTCCAGAGAGGACACCTAAACATATATAGTGACAGCCAAGCGGCTATTAAGTCGATCTACTCGACAAACACCAACTCCCGTACAATAGCAGACTGTCGCAGATCTCTCCACGAGATGGCAAATCAGTTTACTATCAGCACTGAAACACTTAAGAAGCCCCTTCATCGACGATCTTACCGAAATATCGAAGATTTATCTCAAAAACATAAGTGGCTTTATTAAATCTTTCGGGTGGAAGACATGCTGATCAGCTTAACACAGGCTGAAACTACTAGAAACGGGACCCTAGAGAAGGAAAAGAACGAGATCATGCGGTATCACAATGGACCCATTGAGGTCTAAGTGCCGCCCTAACCTAACCTAACCTAACCTAGTGTACACAAAGTAACTACATAATAATTAGCAAGGAGCGCAGAAGCCTCCAGTATGATAAAGAATAATAAATACTATATATGTGAACGATGTCAAAAATGCAAAAAAAAAAAAAATAAATAAAGACGTACCCGAAAAGCCTGCTTGAGACCGCCGTTATCGGCGATATTCTCGCCCTGCGTCATCCGTCCGTCCATGAACATGTCCACCTCGTTGATCTTGTACCGCGAGTACTGATCGATGACGCACTGCGTCCGTTCTCGAAAAGCCTCGATGGTGGCATTGTTCCACCACTGCATCATGTTGCCCTCCTTGTCGAACTGCCGGCCCTTGTCATCGAACCCGTGGGTGATCTCGTGACCAATGACCACACCGATTCCGCCGTAGTTCAATGACTTGGGGAAGTGCTGACTGTAGAACAGAGGCTGCAGGATGCCAGCGGGAAATACTAAGGGATATGAGGATTATTAATAAGTAAGAGATCCTGACTTAAAAGTGACGCCGCACCCACCTATATCGTTTTTATTCGGATTGTAGAAGGCATTCACCACCGCCGGTTCGGTGGTCCACTTTTCCTTATCCACTGGCTGGCGAAGGAGGCGCAGCATCTTCTCCGATTCCCATTGCAGGATGCTAAGGACATTGTTGATGAAGTTGTCCGGGACAATGGTTAGCTAAAAATTAAATCGTTGTTTTTACATAGTGTTCTTTACTGGTGTGTACCAGATACCAGTTTTTCCCCATACTCACATTCACATACTCCTGCTCCAACTCAGTGGCATTGGTCAGCAGCTCCGGATAGCCGATCCGCTCGTTCATGGAGTCTGCCTTCTCCTTGGCCACCGCCCTCGTCTCATCGTCCATCCAATCGTTCTCGGCCAGCAGTTCGTTGAAGGCCGCCCGAATGGTGTGGATCATCTCGAGGGCCACCTCCTTGCTCTCCTGATTGAAGTTATCCCGGATGAACAGGGCTCCCACGGCCACGCCCAGCTTCTTGTTGGTCCACTCGACGCACTGCGACCAGCGTGTACGCTCCGACTGGATGCCCATGAGGATCTTGCGGAATTCCACCCGCTCCCGCTGATACTCGTCGATCATGTGCGACATGAGGGACATGACCAGGCGCCACAGCATGTAGTTGTGCACCACGCGGCGATCGGTGCGGGCCAGGATGCGGCCCATTTCGGTGAGATACTGCAGGCCGTAGGTGACCACCGGCTCATCGTCCTGCAGGGGAATCCCAGGGCCCAGGGCCGCCTGCAGGTACTCCTGCCACTGCACCTCGGGCACCAGCTGCTGGAGCTCCGGCAGCGACATTTTGCGATAGACCAGACTCGTGTCATGGCGATCCGCCTCCGGCAGCGACACATTCACCAGCTGCGTCTCGAACAGCACCACCTTCTCCAGTTCGTCGGCGGCGGTGGCCGGATCTGCACCCAGGAGCAGGGCCACCTGCGTCATGTACCGGTGATAGGCCCGTCGATCGTTGGCACTGCTCTCCTTCAGGTAATAGTCCCTCGAGGGCAGGGCGTACTGCAGCTGGTCCATCTGCAGGATGTTCACCGAGCTGTTCTTGTCGTCGGCGCCCACATAGAGCTCGATCATCACCGGCTCGCTGTAGTTGAGACGCAGCTGGCCCATCAGGCGCTCCACGGACAGATCCGCCGGCGCACTCCAGTCCCGCTCGATGACCGGCCAGCCGCCCAGGGACTGCAGCACCTCCTTCAGCCGCCCAGTGCCGACCTTCCGGATTTGAGCTGGGAACGAGGAGAGACTTCTTTCGGTTACCTACTGTCACTCCCAAGGAATCCCAGGATGGATAGGTCGTTCAACTCACGTATATCCATGCAGCTCTTGAAGAAGGTTTTGGCCTTGATGGTGGCCCTGTTGTCGCGTTCGTCGACGGGTTCCTCGAGAACGGCGCGCAAGATGACCTGCTGTTGATCGGACAGGACCTGCAAAGGATTGGGAATAACCTTTAGAAACAAAATCACATCGAGACACTGGCCGAACCCAAGCAAATACCTCGAAGGTGCTGATGGAGCTGCGGTCCTCGGGAATCGGATGCATCTTGTTCCACGTGCCGCAGGCGTACTGGAAAAAGTCCTCGCAGGGATCGGAGTTCAGGTCCATGGCCGATAGCAGGGAGGCCGCTGTATTTGGTACGGATCGAATGCAGTGACACCATGTTATTGGGCAGTAAATCAAGCGCCACCACCTGGGAAGCCCGTCAGCTGGCGTGCAATTAGTGGTTCACACCGTTTGGGGCCATAATTTATGCCACCCTTTGATCGCTGCGGCCATAAACTTGGCCCACAAATCATCGCCCCCAAAACTTCTGTGATAAGCAAAAACACTCAACTTTTCCCCAGGATGCAACTTTTACGTTATCCAAACTTTATGAATGAATTGGTGGCACTAATAGCCAAGAAGGCGCAATTTCCAGAGATAGACCTGCATTGTGGACTGGCTGCACGGCCAATCCATAAATCAACGCCATCTAGCGGAGGAATTTCATTATCTCGAAGTAGCAAGGGCGAAATTCAATAGCGTGTCCCTAACCTTCGAAATTTTTCACACTTCTAGGAAAGAAATTATTGATTTATGACTTAGCCAGAAACAGAAACATTGTAGCAAAATTGCATTCTTGGAATGTGCTTTCTTATTCTCCTTCTTGGAATGCCAGCAAAGGGTAACATAATTACAAATGTTATTACTTTCCATCTCACCCCTAAGGCGTTTATCCTATTTTCGTTAATTATACGTAATTATATAGAGGATATAACGAATAACTCCAGAAACATACACAATTTTCTCCTAAACGGAACAGCTTTACCTCAATTATGGATTCGATTAAGGATTTGGGTTACCAATTTGGGGTTCAACCTAAAACTCGCATTCGTACACCCCAAAAAGCATGCTAAGTGGAGCACTTGAATCGATTGCATCGCCTGGTAATTGTTGCCATGTATATTTTAAGGGAATGTCCTGCACCCGGACAGGTGTATTTATTCATCCATCTAACCATATATGTACGAGTATGTAAATCTACCGGCATGCCAACCAGTCAATCACAGTGGCAATTTCCTTGGCAAGTGACTTTGAGGTGTTGCTGGCTGCCCGCATAGCTTGACATAAGTGCATTTGGCATGGACGTGTTCGTGGAGCAGATGTTTTGGTCCCCATCGCAAGGGCCAAGTACACCCCATGTCCCATATCACATTTCCAATATCGTATACCCCCTTGACAAACGGGCACTTAGCTATCTTAATAGCTGATAAATAATTTACAACTCAAATAAAAACCGCACATATTGGATGGTTGTGTAAGGCCCTGACACCCTTCGCTCTACCTTAATTAACTTACCCCTAGTACAGTTGGGGTTTCTTATGGTCGAACTATATATAGACTTTATAAGGACTACGAGTTATATGTGTGCTTACAAAGTCAGTGGTTAGACCACTCAATCTGTTTCCATTGTTGAATATATGTAACCCCACTTCATTTTCGTTGATTCATTATTAGTTTTAAGTGTTTTATTTTCTTATCAAGAAAG